AGGGCTACAATCTTGTCCCTGACATCCTTGGAGAGCTGTTTGGTCTTGGCCATGGTGGAGAGTTTGGAATTTGATTGATTGATTGCTTCTGTGGACAGGTGTCTTTTATACAGGTAACAAACTGAGATTATGAGCACTCCCTTTCAGCTCGTTACCTGTATAAAAGACACCTGGGAGCCAGAAATCTTTCTGATTGAGAGGGGGTTAAATACTTATTTCCCTCATTAAAATGCAAATCCATTTATAAAAAAATTTACATGCGTTTTTCTGGATTTTTTTGTTGTTATTCTGTCTCTCACTGTTCAAATAAACCTACCATTAAAATTATAGACTAATCATTTCTTTGTCAGTGGGCAAACGTACAAAATCAGCAGGGGATCAAATACTTTTTTCCCCTCACTGTAAGTACCTTGGTCTTGTCTTGATTTAGCTGGAGGAAGTTGTGAGCCATCAAAGTATTTAAATCACTAATACAGTCTAATCATTTATCCGTGGAGCTAAAATCCTCTGGTGACACAGCAAGGTAAAGTTGTGCATTGTCTGCATAGTAGTGAAAATCAATGCTGTGCTTCCTGATAACGCTACAAAGTGGTAACATACAGTGCATTCGGAAAGTATTCAGACTCCTTGACTTTTTCCACATTTTGTTACATTACAGCCTCATTCTAAAATTGATAAAAAATTAATAATAAATCTCAATCTACACACAATACCCCATAATGCCAAAGCAAAAACAGGTTTGTAGAATTTTTTGCAAATGTATAAAATAAAATAAACTGAAATATCCCATTTACATAAGTATTCAGACCCTTTACTCAGTACTTTGTTGAAGCATCTTTGGCAGCGATTACAGCCTCGACTCTCCTTGGTTATGACGCTACAAGCTTGGCACACCTGCATTTGGGGAGTTTCTCCCATTCTTCTCTGCAGATCCTCTCAAGCTCTGTCAGGTTGAATGGGGAGCGTCGTTGCACAGCTATTTTCAGGTCTCTCCAGAAATGTTCGATCGGCTTCGAGTCCAGGCTCTGGCTGGGCCACTCAAGGACATTCAGAGACTTGTCCTGAAGCCACTCCTGTGTTGTCTTGGCTGTGTGCTTAGGGTCGTTGTCCTGTTGGAAGGTGAACCTTAACCCCCCCCGCTCTGGAGCAGGTTTTCATGAAGGACCATTCATCTTTCCCTCGATCCTGACTAGTCTCCCAGTCCCTGAAAAACATCCCCACAGCATGATGCTGCCACCACCAAGCGTCACCGTAGGGATGGTGCCAGGTTTCCTCCAGACGTGACGTTTGGAATTCAGGCCAACGAGTTCAATCTTGGTTTCATCTGACCAGATAATCTTGTTTCTCATGGTCTGACAGTCCTTTAGGTGCCTTTTAGCAAACTCCAAGCGGGCTGTCATGTGCCTTTAACTGAGGAGTGGCTTCCGTCTCTCTACCATAAAGGCCTGATTGGTGGAGTGCTGCAGAGATGGTTGTCCTTCTTGAAGTTTCTCCCATCTCCACACAGGAACTCTGGAGCTCTCTCAGAGTGACCATCGGGTTCTTGGTCACCTCCCTGACCAAGGCCCTTCTCCCCCGATTGCTCAGTTTGGCCAGGCGGCCAGCTCTATGAAGAGTCTTTGTGGTTCCAAACTTCTTCCATTTAAGAATGATGGGGGCCACTGTGTTCTTGGGGACCTTCAATGCTGCAGAAACGTTTTGGTACCCCTTCCCCAGAACTGTGCTTCAATTGATTGGACATGATTTGGAAAGGCACACACCTGTCTATATAAGGTCCCACAGTTGACAGTGCATGTCAGAGCAAAAACCAAGCCATGAGGTCGTAGGAATTGTCTGTAGAGTTCTGAGACAGGATTGTGCCGAGGCACAGAAAAGAAAATATCTGCAGCATTGAAGCTCCCCAAGAACACCGTGGCCTCCATCATTCTTAAATGGAAATAGTTTGGAACCACCAAGACTCTTCCTAGAGCTGGCCGCCCGGCCAAACTGAGCAATCGGGGGAGAAGGGCCTTGGTCAGGGAGGTGACCAGGAACCCGATGCTCACTCTGACAGAGCTCCAGAGTTCCTCTGTGGAGATGGGAGAACCTTCCAGAAGGACAACCATCTCTGCAGCACTCCACCAATCAGGCCTTTATGGTAGAGTGGCCAGACGGAAGCCACTCCTCAGTAAAATGCACATGACAGCCCACTTGGAGTTTGTCAAAAGGCACCTAAAGGACTCTTAGACCATGAGAAACAAGATTATCTGGTCTGATGAAACCAATATTGAACTCTTTGGCCTTAATGCCAAGCGTCATGTCTGGAGGAAACCAGGCACCGCTCATCACCTGGCCAATACCATCCCTACGGTGAAGCATGGTGGCAGCATCATGCTGTGGGGATGTTTTTCAGTGGCAGGGACTGGGAGACTAGTCAGGATCGAGTGAAAGATGAACGGCGCAAAGTACAGAGATCCTTGATGAAAACCTGCTCCAGATTGCTCAGGACCTCTGACTGGGATGAAGGTTCACCTTCCGACAGGACAACGACCCTAAGCACAAAGCGAAGACAACGCAGGAGTGGCTTCGGGACAAGTCTCTGAATGTCCTTGAGTGGCCCAGCCAGAGCCCGGACTTGAAGCCGATCTAACATCTCTGGAGAGACCTGAAAATAGCTGCAGCAATGCTCCCCATACAACCTGACAGAGCTTGAGAGGATCTGCAGAGAAGAATGGGAGAAACCCCCCCAAATACAGGTGTGCCAAGCTTGTAGCATCATAACCAAGAAGACTCGAGGCTGTACTCGTTGCCAAACGTGCTTCAACAAAGTACTGAGTAAAAGGTCTGAATACTTATGTAAATGTAATATTTCTGTTTTTTATTTCTAATAAAATGTGCTAAAAAAATAAGAAAACGGCGGCTAACTGATTAACGGTTAACATCCCTAGTCCCTGACAATTCCCAGCCCTATAATTTATAAATAATGCAAGAAACTTCAATGGGTAATTTCTCTGAACAGAGGAGAAAAAAAACATCACCAGATTCACAGCATCACATAGGATGAAGAAGGTATACTCCAAGCCTCAACTCCATAGTACTTGTCAGACAGAGAATTTACAGTACAGTACACTGGTTGTTGGGGTGGGATTGGCGTGGGGTATATTACATTTACATTTTAGTCATTTAGCAGACACTCTTATCCAGAGCGACATACAGTTATTATTATATATATTTTTTCATACTGCCCCCCCGTGGGAATCGAACCCACAACCCTGGCGTTGCAAACGCCATGCTCTACCAACTGAGCTACATCCCTGCCGGCCATTCCCTCCCCTACCCTGGACGACACTGGGGCCAATTGTGCACCGCCCCATGGGTCTCCCGGTCGCGGCCGGCTACGACAGAGCCTGGATTCGAACCAGGATCTCTAGTGGCACAGCTAGCACTGCGATGCAGTGGGTTTATATGGGTTTGGACACATATATGGGTTTGGGTTCCGTGAGTGGCTTTTGGCCATTTTATTGGATTACTCATGTCTTACTCAACAGTAAGAAGAAATCTGGTTCAAATCAGATGTTGGGTACTATAATTTATTGAACATTATGTCAATCCTAAAAATGTAAAGGGCCAATTTGGGTACAATCAATTAGCTTAATTTCTCAGAGATCAAATTAAATTTTAACAAGATAATGTTGCAGGAATGCTAATCTGTTTCTAACTACAGAAACGATTTCAGAACAATCTGAGATGGTGGGTGTCATGGCATGGAATGACTCAGAAGGTAGGGGGACATTGGAGTGCCATCCTGCAGTTCATATCATTATTACTTCACACATATCAATAACTAGGCCTGGCCTGTCTGGTGCAAGAAACCCTACACATCCTGGTTTAGCTGCAAATACACTTTAAAGTCATATACACTTGAAAGTCAAATGTGATGCCAGTGACAAAAAAAAGGCTAAACAAGTTATAATTAGGACAGCATTTCAGAAACTCGGTCCTGGGGACCCCAAGGGGTTCACGTTTTGGTTTTAGCCCTAACACTACACAGCTGATTCAAATAATCAAAGCTTGATGATCAGTTGATTATTTGAATCAGCAGTGTAGAGCTAGGGAAACAACAACAAAAACGTGCATCTCCTGGGGTACGCAGGACCGAGTTTGGGAAACCGAGTATTAAGACATCCATACAGCTTAGTCAAGCAGTTTCAGGTTTACATAGTTAGAATATGAGAGAGATGAGAGCTTGAGTCGTACAACAACGTTACGCCCAAGAGAGCAACATTTAAGAGGCAGCTCTAGCAGAACCAGTTTAGTGTGTTTAACTGTTACTGTCTTAGCTAGAAAGCTAATAATCCTAATGGATAAAAGGCAAGCAATGTGGAAAGCTAATTGGTTAGCCGCTACCATCATATTGAACAATCAAAGAAGGACAACAATAACTAGTTAACTTATTTGGAGATTTAACGTGGCTAACCCTCGTTGTGGAGATAAAATAAAAGCGAGCTAACCAGCTAACTAACGTTAGTTAACTATTATTATACATTTTTAACTTAAAGTCAACCGTTTATATTTGTGGGTAACGTTAGACTGTTAGCACTGTTAGCTATGTGCAACTTGCTATCTAACAAGCCAACGTTAGCTTAGCTAGTTTTGACTGATCAGCTGTAAGCAGCATCGCCTCATATCAAACGTTAGCAAGCCAGCGAGACGAACTTACAATATATTCTCGAACTTGGCTGTGGAAATTCTGTTCTCTGATAGTAACATCGTCTTCTTCCATTCTTCATATTGCAGATGCAAGTAAATTGCCCCACTACACACTAGTCGTACAACTGACGTCCATAAAACCTGTCTACGGTCAAAAGAATAACAGCCAAAGCTCACTGTTGCCGTTCCAACGAAGTCCGCTTATTTTCCACCGCCCAAAAAACGCCCCAAAATAAATGACATCATCATTCCTCGACAAAAAATGACCCGGAAACTGTGTTTTCCGTGGTACGTGTGTTTCCTGGGTCGTTTGTCAACAACAATGGCTGCCGTCATGAGTATACATGTGTCTATCAATTTACGTTTTAAGACAGTTTTGTTCATCTATTTCATGTGTTCCAAGGTAACAACTGGTAGGGTTTATTTTTTTTAACATTTCCTTTTTGGTACCTTTTTGCTTCATAAACAAGCTTTTCTTGCTTCATAATCATAAACAAGCTTGTTTGCTTCTTGCCACGCTTGAAACTCGTTGAGACACAGAAAGGAATTTAATTATAAAAGTCAGTGTCTTTCGTCAAGTAACAATAAGATCATAGCTAGGTAGTTAACGATAGTTATATCTGTTGCAAAGATGAAAGGCAAGGGGAAAGCAAAGAGGAAAGGAAAGAAAGACACTGGTAAATTGCAAAAGTATATGGTGACAGTTAACGACTTTGTAAAAAGTAAGGTAGGCTGTGATGAAACAGAAGATGGCAGTGGCTTGAGATTTGTTAAGAAGAAAAGTAGGAAAGAAATGCGTAAGGAGAAAAGAAAGATGAAAAAGGCTAAAATTAAGAATCACTATGAAGGCTACAAGGCTCTCAAAGCATCCACTTGTGACAGTGAGGAAGTTGCAACCCCATCTGATAAACAACCAACAAAGAAGGTTAATGGTAAAGTAAAGAAAGACGAGCCAGCATCTCAACAACCCAAGTCAACTCCTGTTGAGACTGCAGCAGGAGAGAAGGCTGAGAAAAAAGGACCTAAGAAACCTTCTAAGAAAGAAAAGAAAAGAAACAAACTTGAGGAATCAAGAAAAAAAGCCCTTTTGGAAGCTAATGTTGCAGAGGACAGAGAAATTAAGAGGTTGGAGCGATCTCTTGGGTATAACAAGAGGAAAAACAAAAAGAAACTTCCGCAGTCATTCGCTGATGATGGACTTGATTACATTTTGGGGGTACTGGATGCTGGATCGGCAGCTTCAAGGATAGTGCATGACAGTGATGATGACATGGACATTGCCAAAGAGAAATTAAGGAAATTGGTAGACAGTGAATCAGAAATGTCCGGCGAAGAGGAGGAAGAACAAGGAGATGACTCTGAAGAGGAGGGCAGTGAACTAGACAGAGATGGAGACCTGGATGCCACCGAGGAAGAAGAAGATGGAATGGATGAGGACGACGAAAATGAGATGGATGAGAGTGGTGGAATAGCTTCGGAAGAAGAAAATGGAAAGGATGAGGGAGTTGAGAGTGGAGACTCAACGCTTGCAGGGCCAAAAGCTGACACTGTAAGTTGCCCAATTAGAATCTAATTTGTGAATTTCAGCTACATTTATATTTTGTATGTCTAAGGACCAATTTCCCAGACATTGATTAAGCCTAGTCCTGGACTAAAAAGCAAGCTCAGTGGTGAATCTCCACTGAAAATACTTTTTAGTCCAGCATTAGGTTTAATCTGTGTCCTGGGAAACCGGTCCTAAATGTATAGACTGAGAATTAAACACTATTCTGTATGTATAGGCTGTCCCGTCAGCAGGGAAATACGTGCCCCCTCATCTACGGGACACCGGGGATGATAAGCGCAGAGCTGAGCTGGAGAGACTGAAGAGACAAGTCAAAGGACTTGTGAACAGGTAATGGTTTTGATCTTGACTACTACATGCTCTTTCATCCTAATCAATGTACCTTGGCCCTGTTTTATCTGCCGTCACACTGGATTTGTCACAATTCATATTTCGGTGCTAGGGATGCTCAAGGTCCGTATGTTCAAGTGTCTCAGAGTAGGAGTGCTGATCTAGGATTTGGGCCTATATCCACAATGCATCTCAGAGTAGGAGTGCTTATCTAAGATCAATTTTACCCTTTAGATCATAATGAATACGATTATATGGACAGATCCTAGATCAGCACTCTTACTCTGAGATGCTTTGTGGATACGGGCCCAGGTCCCCCTTGTCCGTGTTATCGTATTAATTGTGACCGAAAAGGCAAAACTCATCCTAAATCAGCACTCCTACTCTGAGATGCCCGTGTGGCTCAGGTGGTAGAGCATGGCGCTTGCAACAGGGTTGTGGGTTTGATTCCCACGGGGGACCAGTACGGAAATACAGTGGGGGAAAAAAGTATTTAGTCAGCCACCAATTGTGCAAGTTCTCCCACTTAATAAGATGAGAGAGGCCTGTAATTTTCATCATGGGTACACGTCAACTATGACAGACAAAATGAGAAAAATAAATCCAGAAAATCACATTGTAGGATTTTTAATGAATTTATTTGCAAATTATGGTGGAAAATAAGTATTTGGTCAATAACAAAAGTTTCTCAATACTTTGTTATATACCCTTTGTTGGCAATGACAGCAACGTTTTCTGTAAGTCTTCACAAGGTTTTCACACACTGTTGCTGGTATTTTGGCCCATTCCTCCATGCAGATCTCCTCTAGAGCAGTGATGTTTTGGGGCTGTCGCTGGGCAACACAGACTTTCAACTCCCTCCAAAGATTTTCTATGGGGTTGAGATCTGGAGACTGGCTAGGCCACTCCAGGACCTTGAAATGCTTCTTACGAAGCCACTCCTTCGTTGCCCGGGCGGTGTGTTTGGGATCATTGTCATGCTGAAAGACCCAGCCACGTTTCATCTTCAATGCCCTTGCTGATGGAAGGAGGTTTTCACTCAAAATCTCACGATACATGGCCCCATTCATTCTTTCCTTTACACGGATCAGTCGTCCTGGTCCCTTTGCAGAAAAACAGCCCCAAAGCATGATGTTTCCACCCACATGCTTCACAGTAGGTATGGTGTTCTTTGGATGCAACTCAGCATTCTTTGTCCTCCAAACACGATGAGTTGAGTTTTTACCAAAAAGTTCTATTTTGGTTTCATCTGACCATATGACATTCTCCCAATCCTCTTCTGGATCATCCAAATGCACTCTAGCAAACTTCAGACGGGCCTGGACATGTACTGGCTTAAGCAGGGGGACACGTCTGGCACTGCAGGATTTGAGTCCCTGGCGGCGTAGTGTGTTACTGATGGTAGGCTTTGTTACTTTGGTCCCAGCTCTCTGCAGGTCATTCACTAGGTCCCCTCGTGTGGTTCTGGGATTTTTGCTCACCGTTCTTGTGATCATTTTGACCCCACAGCGTGAGATCTTGCGTGGAGCCCCAGATCGAGGGAGATTATCAGTGGTCTTGTATGTCTTCCATTTCCTAATAATTGCTCCCACAGTTGATTTCTTCAAACCAAGCTGGTTACCTATTGCAGATTCAGTCTTCCCAGCCTGGTGCAGGTCTACAATTTTGTTTCTGGTGTCCTTTGACAGCTCTTTGGTCTTGGCCATAGTGGAGTTTGGAGTGTGACTGTTTGAGGTTGTGGACAGGTGTCTTTTATACTGATAACAAGTTCAAACAGGTGCCATTAATACAGGTAACGAGTGGAGGACAGAGGAGCCTCTTAAAGAAGAAGTTACAGGTCTGTGAGAGCCAGAAATCTTGCTTGTTTGTAGGTGACCAAATACTTATTTTCCACCATAATTTGCAAATAAATTCATTAAAAATCCTACAATGTGATTTTCTGGAGAAAAAAATTCTCAATTTGTCTGTCATAGTTGACGTGTACCTATGATGAAAATTACAGGCCTCTCTCATCTTTTTAAGTGGGAGAACTTGCACAATTGGTGGCTGACTAAATACTTTTTTCCCCCCACTGTATATGCACTCACTACTGTAAGTCGCTATGAATAAGAGTGTCTGCTAAATGACTCAAATGTCAAATGTAAATATACAGCCCCAAGTCTTGTGTTTTGGTGTCCATCTTGGTTCAAACGATGTTGTCCTGTGCTGCATTCTCCTCCGTAGGCTCAGTGAGGCCAACATGGCGTCCATCAGTGGCCAGCTGGAGGAGCTGTACATGAGCTCGAGCCGGAAGGACATGAACGACACCCTGACAGAGATCCTCCTGGCAGCCTGTGTCACCCCAGCCCTGATGCCTGACAGACTGCTTATGGAACACGTCCTGCTTGTCAGCATCCTACATCACACAGTGGGGCTTGAGGTAGGTTCAAACCGCATCAACACAATTACCTGTCATTCAACACACATAGCTGTGTCCCAAATGGCACCCTATTTCCTATATAGTGCAGGCCTCTGGTCAAAAATAGCACTCTATAGGGAATAGGCTGCTATTTTGGACATAGACATAGTTTATAAGTGAGGGAGCTAGTCACAATTAACTAAGAATGACAGTTTAATCCTAATGGATTTGTAGCTGGTATAAATGTCTAGACCTCTGTTATCTCTTGGTGACCTTTAGTTCACCCCTGTATGCTCTTCTGATAAGAGCACGGAAAGAAGAAAATTGTATTTTGTAACATCAGTCTGTGTGAGAAAAGGAGTAACCATTAACCTGTGAATGATCATTAGCTTGTGGTTTGTTTGATTTACGTGCTCAGTGTGACTTGTCTCCAGTTCCTTTATAACCTAATTCCTCCCCTTTTGATTAATGGAAAAGTAGCAATTCACACCTTGGCTTCCTATTAGCATTATCTCTTTCAGTCATGTTTACTCCCCACCCGTCAGTAAATGGCCACACACATACACACACAGACATACACACACACATTCACATGCCCACCAGCATTCTCGGTTCCATTGACTTCTTTGCTCTATTTTCTGGCCTTTGACATGATGTACCATTTTGCAGGTGGGGGCTAATTTCTTGGAGACGGTGGTGCGGCAGTTCAACGAGTTGTACAAGAGCCCCGGTGAAGGCAAGGAGTGTGACAACCTGGTGGCCATGGTGGCACATCTCTACAACTTCCAGGTGGTGCACGCCCTCCTCATCTTTGACATCCTGAAGATGCTGGTGGGGGCCTTTGCCGAGAAGGACATTGAGCTGGTCCTGTTTGTGCTGAAGAATGTAGGCTTCGCCCTGCGGAAGGATGATGCCCTGGCGCTGAAAGAACTCATCTCTGAGGCCCAGAGCAAGGCCAGTGGTGTGGGCACCAAGTTTCAGGATGAAAATAGGGTACGGTTTGTCACAGCTACCTCCAGCAACACCACTCTCAACATCACCTGCTGTCTATACGCACCTTATTGTTGGTAAAATACGTCAAACAGGGTCATTTTACATTTCGATTTTGGTCATTTGACAGAGACTCCTATCCAGAGCAACTTGCAAGTCAAATGTATTAGCAGTCAAAGTAGAAGTCATTAATGAATAACAAGCCAACTCTCTTCTGGATATCTTCTCTATCTTTAGGTGCGCTTCATGCTGGAGACCATGTTGGCTCTGAAGAACAACGATATGAGGAAGATCCCTGGCTACGACCCAGAGCCTGTTGAGAGACTCCGAAAGCTGCAGAGAACTCTGGTGGGTTACAGATCTGATTACGCCTTTACAGCTGTCTGTCAGATCATATCCTCAAAACCATTCTTTGCTCAGCCATGAAATATTCTTCCATTGTTGATGTTTCCCCAGGTAGCTTTTAGCTAAAACCACCAGGGGGCACTATAATCTCACTTAGCAGTTTATGTGATAGGTTTGAGCACCCAGATGAGGGGAGCATGAAGAAGTAGGGTGAGGTTGCCACTAGATGCTGATCTTGGGTCAGTTTTGCATTTCCCCCACTAACATTTAAGGTTGGGATTGGGTAAGGAGATGCTGATCCTAGAGCTCTACTTAGGGGAAACTTCACCCCAGAGCGTTATGTGAATGAGTTGTAACTGTTGTGTTCAGATCCACCAGAGTTCGGGGGGCAGTGATGTGAAGCTGAGGGTCTCTCTGGAGAACCTCCTGGCTGCAGAGCAGGTGGGCCGCTGGTGGATCGTGGGCTCATCGTGGACCGGAGCCCCCATGATAGGTGGCCAGGGCAACAAGACCTCAAAACAAACTACTGCAGAAGGAAAGGTACTAAAAACCCTAAAAGATCTGGGGCCGTATGCATCAAGTGTCTCAGAGTAGGCTTGCTGGTTTAGGATCAGTTTAGTCTTTTAGATGAAAATGAATACGATTATATCGACAGGGGGACCTGATCCTAGATCAGCACGCCTACTCTGAGATGTTTGATACATATGGCCCCTAGTGCTCCACTAAATAAATAATTACTGCATCTTTTTCATATTAACATTTGAGTGGCAATTCTGAACTGGACAGCATTTTCAAAGTGTTTGACTGATCTTAAGTGCATTTCCCTTCATCTGTCTCCTCAGTTCAGCTCTAAGGTCTTAGACCTGGCCCGGAAACAGAGAATGAACACAGACATCAGGAGAAATATATTCTGCGTGATCATGACCAGCGAGGATTACCTAGATGCCTTTGAGAAGCTGATACGGTGTGTTTTGTTTCCCTACCCTTTTGTAGCACTAAAATGCTCTCATACCAAGCTAGGCATTGCCACAAGTTTCAGTATGAGGCACTGCATTATTTTCTGTGTGCAGGCTGGGGCTGAAGGACCAGCAGGAGAGGGAGATCGTCCACGTGCTGATGGACTGTTGCCTCCAGGAGAAGAGCTTCAATGCCTTCTATTCTGTACTGGGAGAGAAGTTCTGTGAGCACGACAGGCGGTTCCAGGTAAGAGAACAGGGCCCATAATTATAAAGCCTCTGAGTGCTGATCTAGAATCAGTTTAGCCTTTTAGATCATAATGAGTAAGATAACATGGACAGTCTCCTCCTCTGAGCTTTATGAATGCCCAGGCATTCTAATGGTTCTTAATAGCTCCATAGCATTGTGATTGGGACATTCCCTCTATAGCCACCCAACTATGACCCTCAGTTCACCTCAACAGTGTGAGAAACAAGGGGAGTGTCGCTACTCTCTCTCTCGCACCTTTCTGATGTTTTGTTTCATGCTGTGAAAGTAGACAATGGCCATAACCCCTCACTTCCCCTTAAGCTTCCCTTTAGGTCACCGCCCCAGCTCTGATGGTGATAACCATTGTCCCATTAAAGAGCTTTCATCTGAACTGGTGCAAATGTTTGGTTTTCACAAGCGGACTAGATCAGGATTATGTGTTTGCTTGCTGTATTGAATGGGTTGGAATCACAGGAGGTTGGTGGCACCTTAATTGGGGAAAACGGGCACGTGGTAATGACTGGAGCTGAATTAGTGGAATGGTATCAAATATATCAAACACATGGTTTCCAGGTGTTTGATGCCATTCCATACACTCTGTTACGGCCATTATTATGACTAGTTCTCCCTTCAGAAACCTCCTGTGGTTGGAATGGGTCATGGATTGTAATACTGGGCCCGTATTCACAAAGCGTCTCAGAGTAGGAATGCTGAACTAGGATCTGTTTTGTCTTTTGCATCATAATGAATATGATTACACATGCACTGGTACTCTGAGACGGCCCCAGGCTTTTGAATTGATTAGAGGAAATAGGATAGACTTCTAGAGTTCTTCCATATCTTGCAATCCCCCAGTAGTCCCACAGATCCTCTGTTGTATGTTTCCCCAGATGACATTTCAGTTCAGTTTGTGGGACAAATTCAAGGACCTGTCCAGCCTATCCACCAGCACCTTCAGCAACCTGGTCCAGCTGGTCACACGCTTCCTCCAGAGAAAGTGCCTCTCCCTCTCCATACTCAAGGTCTGACACACCATGTTATACAGATGAAATCCGGTCATAGTGAAGTGATTTGATGAATGTTAAAGGGGAAGTTCAGTATTTTACAACCTAATGTTAGATATTTGCTTACCCTGAAAGTAGTCTATGGGCCAGGAGAAACTGTAATCCATGGTTCGGTTTTCTTTAAACAGCGACTTCAAACGCCAGCTAGCTAACTTCCCTTCTAATTAACTTTTGGTGCCACTTTCACTCTGTGTCTGTCTCTTTGTAGGTGATAGAGTTTGGTGAGTTGGACAAGCCTAAAGTCAAGTTCCTGCGTCAGGTATTGACTAAGCTGTTAAAAGACACAGAGCCTGAGGATCTTGCAAACATATTTGGAAGGTGAGTGACGTAATGCATCACATTCCAGTCCAAACTGAGTTTAGACTGACTTTCTCAGTTCCGTTAATGACATTTTGCATAAGGGCCAGTGTATATCAATGATAAACACGTGTTTTTATCACGTAGAAATGTTCTGAGTCATTCTATAATTTGTTTAGGGGCCAGATTCTTCTTCTCGCCCAGTCATGAAAACCTCTCCTTCTCGTACTTTGGCTATCCTGTAAAACCGCACCGCTGACATTTGACTATGTGAAAAGTCTGGTATCAATGTCTGTCATTGTGTTCTGTCTCGTCAGGATTTCGGGAATTCCCAAGCTAGGAATGCTGCGGGAGGGCTTGAAGCTGTTCATCAGTCACTTCCTACTGAAGAATGCCCAGTCGCAGGGACCAGCTGAGCAAGCAGGCCTTCTGTCAGAGCGAGCCGAGGTTGCCAACAAGGCCATGGAGGCCAAAGAGACTAAACTCAAACTGTAAAACACACAAACACACACTCTGGGACCCTGGGAGAAAACCAGGAGAACAAAAGAGCCCTGTCGGGGAAACATGCTCGTTTTTTACAAACAACAAACCCATCAATTTATTTCAAGACTGAGGCTAAGCTTTTTTTGTTTTAAAGAGATTTTTATGTCTCTGTGTGCAGAATGAAGGAGGTAATGTGGTATGCTAGCGTACCTGTATACTTCCAGTCATTGTGCTAACGCTAGTTAGCATTGGCTCGCGAAAAATACCTCTAACTTCCTTCATACTGCACACAGAGACATAAAAATGGTAACCACGAGTTCATCTGACTCTGGGTAAGTAGTACCCTCCCTTTAAAGATTTCACCATTTTGTGTTTGTGTGATTTTGAGGATTACCCCAAAGCCCTTCCAAAATGGAAATGACTACACTGGGAGGTCTGTAATTTTAATTATCTCCGTTTTGTAAAATACAGAGATTACTTCTGATGACATTAGAAATATCCAAATGAAGTAGGGGCTTCATCAAGTGGCAATGATAATGAACATGAGAGTGGAAAATATTTCCACAGTGTAGTTACTCTAATGTATTGAAGTCACTGTCACAATGGATATTGCCTTTGCCTGTATATTTAAGATTAAGATCACTTTATTGGTCAATTGCACACAAGGTCCAACCGAAAGTTGACTTCTGCTTTTAACCCAATCCCTACACATACAGAGACAGGTTTTTCTGAAGAGGTGTGGGGGGCTGCCACACTGGGCACCTGGGGAGCTGTTGTTGTGGGGGGTTAAGTGCCTTGCTCAAGGGCACAACGGCAGGCAATGGCATCGAGGAGTTGATACCAGCAACCCTCCGGTTGTGAGCCGTTCCCAACAGATTTTTCCTGTCGGACCCAGGATTCTAACTGGCAACCCAATGGTTGCTGGCTCGCCTCTCTAACTGCTAGGTTACCTGCTGCCCCCTTTGTACAAATTGCATGTTATTCAGTTTTTAAGATACATCAATGGTATGTAGTGTACTAAAATGTATTTTACCGATGAATACAGGATTAACTCAGTAAAATGTTTCCAAACTGTTTATAAACATTTGAAGTCTGTCCATAAGGCAATAATAAACCCTTTTTTTCACCTTGATTAATCTGGTTAACTGGGTATCAATACATTTGTGTTTTTTCATGCCAGTACGTTAATTAACTTTATTTGCATAATGTCAATAGCAGTCAAACTGGGGTCATATTCATTAATGTACAACATAGCAAAACGTAAAATATTTTGCTACAGAAAATGAAAACGAGCATTTCTTATTTGACAACTTCAGGCAGTTCCTCCCAGTTTCGGTGTATATTCTTCAGTTTGGTGTCTAGTGCAGAGATCTCCAACAGGTTGATACCTGCTACCAAGCAATTCTGAAAGTAAATGATTTTTTTTCCATGTGTCCCATGCAAACTTTCATAAACATAAAGTTCCCGGCTACTATCCAATCAAAGCCTGACATTATCACACTCCTAGTTACAAACTATTGGGTTAAAAAGCCCAACATAACACAATATATGCCAATTAATTTCCAGCAATATTGCCCGTCTGTCTGTTCGTTTCAAGCATTTGTCTATTACTCCGTATGTAGCCAGTTAGTGTTGCTAATGATAACCGTCTTGTAGGCAGAAAAGAATAGGTAAACAAAAATGTGCTTTTTGGACTTCATTTAAGGTTAGGCATAAGGTTAGCAGTGTGGTTAGGTTTAAAATCAGATTTTAATAAGAGACATTGTAGAAATAGGGGGGGTTATGACTTTGTGGCTGTAGTAACTAGTGACGACCCAGAAACATCGCTAGACTGACACATTCCTCTCTTCTTAATGCTCAATTAAAGCAGAATTACACCAAAATAATCGAAATTGTTCGTTTTTTTTTTACCTCAAAATTGGTCTTCTGATGTGATTTCATCATTGACATGGACTCAGAACATACCATTTTATTGTTTCTCGATGAGTAATTGTAATACTGAGAGAAAAAATGAACAGAATTACAGAAAATACAAAATATAACTTTATGGGGCACCTAAGAGTTGTTCATTAACCATTATTTTACCAAGTATATTGACAGAAAACACACCTCTTGTACACCAAAGACACAGGGAAGAGTTGCAGGGTAGAGGATAAGAGAAGAATGATCCTATTTAAAAGCTACTTGAGTAGCTAAATGAGTAGCTCGTGACATGTTTCATTTTTTTGAAGTAGCTCTCATGCTAGAAAAGGTTGGAGACCCCAGGTCTAGTGCATACAATCCAGGAGTCTCTGTTTTGAGCAGACACCATAGTTCTAAGAAATAATCCTCTCGGGGGCAGTGTGAAACAATGTCTGAGCATTCGTATAGAATTTACAGGACCATCATCATCGCTACTTGTGTGTATTTCGAGTGGCGCAGTGGTCTAAGGCACTGCATTGCAGTGCTAGCTGTGCCACTAGAGATCCTGGTTCGAATCCAGGCTCTGTCGTAGCCGGCCGTGACCGGGAGACCCATGGGGCGGCGCACAATTGACCCAGCGTCGTTCAGGGTAGGGGAGGGAATGGCCGGCAGGGATGTAGCTCAGTTGGTAGAGCATGGCGTTTGCAATGTCAGGGTTGTGGGTTCAATTCCCACGGGGGGCCAGTATGAAAACAAATAAAAATATAATAATGTATGCACTCACTAACTGTAAGTCGCTCTGGATAAGAGCGTCTGCTAAATGACTAAAATGTAAATGTATTTATAGGTATATTGATATTACATTGTACCAAAGGAGTCTATTGAAGCCTGTTTTAAGTTTGAATCCCTAGTTGATAAATCAGCTTCCTCTCCACAGCAAGGGGTTGTGTACTCTACTCACTATATTCAATTATAAATTGTACACATTTACTTTTCCTTTGTGTACAACCTTAACCATGAATTGCGACTGAGGAGGAGGTGGTTGAGGAGAACATGTATGGCTTTGTGTATGCCATTGGCATCTGCTTGTCCATAGCTAACTTTATAGGTCACTTTCTAATCTGTTGTCAGCGCCATTAGCATTGCTCTGTGAAATTATTGACCTCTTCCCATGCGCAAGCTTCCATGTTTACGACCTTGTATCAGATGTGCCAACTGAATCACTATTCAATCTTTAGATGTTTTTTCCCTTGAATGTATCAACATTTTGTAAAAGAGTATTTGTGATGTCTAATCTCATGTTCATTCATAATCTGTGTAGACTACCCATCAAAATGAAATGACACTGGGTTTTTATTCAGTCTGACAACATTGGCTGCATGCATCGCATAGCAGAGTCATTGCGTTACATTTGATGCCTGCTACTATTAATTAGCTCCATTAACAAGGCTTGCATGAATCTGTGTGTGGGCCTGAGTGGCCAGAGGGTGAGACAAGGCCACAGAGATCACTCAGAGGAAACATCTCTCCCCCAGACCTTACAATGGCTTCTATGGGAGGGTGGCAGTGCCTTCACCCTCAAAGTATTTGTGATGTCTAATATTTATGTATTTTGATTAAGGTGAAAGTGCAAATATAGCCTATGCATGGCTTGGACCGTTACAAAGACTGACTTCCATGATGGCATGTTATATTATATTGGTTATGTCTAATGTTATATAGGCCAATATACTGTAGTTTGATGAAGATGAAAGTTCAAATGTATGCATTTTCTGAACCATTACATGAAGAGACATCCATGATGGCATGCTGATCTGTGCGAGTCAGTCTCTGTGGTTTACAAAGAGAAAACCAGTGAGTCAACTAGAGGCAGATTGTGACTGCGAGATAAATAGACAAGTCAGTGAAGAGCACACAGGCTACTGTATGCAGGTGGGAGTCATCAGGTTGGTATTGACCCCTGGGTGACCCTGCTGTAATGGGTCTGCTAAGATAGAAAACACAACCAGACAGTTAGGTGTCTGTAATCCCATAATCAGTAGTACGTACTACTTAATCAACACTATACAGTACTAACACAGCCTCACAAGAATAAACAAAATATGGAGAAACTATTATTAGCCTAAGAGCTCAATATCTTTTACAATGCTTACACTGTAATGACTGTAATTGGCTATTTCTGTGTGTTGACCGTGACTATCAATAGTTGACTGTGTGTGTCCCATTCAGACTGACTCTTGTAAATCCCAAATGGCACTTTATTCCCTAGTAGTGCACTACTTTTGCACTACTTTTGACGAGAGCCCTGTGGGCCCTGGTTAAGAGTAGTGCACTTTAAAAGGAATAGGGTGCCATTTGGGACACATACCCAACTCTTGTCTACTGTTCAAAGCTATGTTTCCTCAAGCTTTGCTCCCCGTCCTGCCCTCCCAGAGAGTGTTCCCGTCCCATACCTGGCTGGGAGGTGTTGATGAGCTGATAAAGCAGCTTGCGCTCTCTGTATCCTCACAGCTGGGAAAACTCTCTGTTTGCTAAATTACTTCTCAATCAATAACCAATACTAACACAGCTATACAGAAACTCAAAACTTCTGGAACAAATTTTGGAACACTTATTTTCTCAGCAAAAAAAGCAAGTCATGCATTTGGTCGAACGTGAATGAGAAGCAACTGGTAAACATATCACACTTTATAAATGTATAGCTGCAATGCAACACGTCTGTATTTCCTAAACAAAAAGACACTGCATGTGAATGGGCAAACTAACCTGTGGATCTTAGGAGAGCCATTGGATATAGGGAGATATTAGAAAAGGCATTATGGCTAATAGATTTACATTTTAGCAGACGCTGTTATCCAGAGCAACTTACAGTTAGTGAGTGCATACATTTTCATACTGGTGATGCCTTTTGTAATTTTGATGTATAAAAGCATACATAGCTAAGCATGTTGTTGTGTTGCATATAACATAGTCTAATCCAGAAAGACCTGCATTATAAAATGTGGTTCATGTAACCTACACATGTTAGTAGGCTATTATACACTTCGGCCTTTTGAAGATTCTGTCTTCTTTGTTGGTCTGAATGGTCGGGTCATGGGAATCGCAATAGCGCTGTTGGATCTGTGCAAAGGTGCTGGGAGAGCAAACAAGTCCGGAGTCAGACTATGGAAACATTTCACACTAGACCAGCAATAGGATCGTATTAATAAACCTTTGAAACCGCTCGTTAATCAGTGTATGCAAATACACAACACAAGCATTATTTTCAAAGGATTTAACTAATCGGATTGTTAAATATTGAAATGATGTCATGACTTATTTTTTTTAAATTAAAATAACCTGCTAGTTCGCACAATGTACGTTATGCACCACAACAATATGCATTTACTCATCAACATTATAGCATCCTGTGCAAAATTACAGACTTCCTGACTATGTGTTCGATCAAAATCAATTGTCTTTATTAATCAAAGATACTGAGACCAGACGGACAATTATATATGTGGCTTATGACCTCTAAACTAAGACCAAATTGGCTTCAAAATTGGACCATAATTGGAAAAGTGTGTTTAATAGATTCACATTCGTCAGCATTGAAAAACACAACGTTTTATAAAACACATTTATTTAATGTCGTCTGTACCATGGGAGACGGTTAACAATAATTTAGCATGCATTGGTTTAGACATTTTATAAATACAGAATACAAAAATAAACGCATAACATTTTTCTGCACGTAAACTGTAGGCCTATATGACGCAATTACATAAGTGTAACACCACACATTTTCAAAAACATTAAACAAAAGAAAATGCAAAATGACTGTGTCATGTCTGAATTTACAATTGGTCGCCATATCAAAATACTATGATAATAACCCCTATAGTGGAGAACCCATACGATTGTAGTGGGTCCTACACCAACTGCGTGAAAACATGACACTGTCACATAAAACCATGCAATGTTACAAATAGCAGAGTGTACCTCAATACTACATTCTAAAACGTAAATCCGACCTTGCTTGCTAGGGCCATTCTGCACACACTGAATCTCAGTCATCCTTTAGTATTTTCCAAATGATTCTCATTAATTTCTGAATTTCCGGGTATGATTGAAGGTTGTTACTACTGTAGGCCTACATGCAGCTGTAGTTTGGTGGAAAATTCCAATCTCATTTAAGGAGTGTATAGCTTTTCAAGAAGACATGTTTCCTTGCCCCTGTCTCAAGGTTGTGGATTTATATCACTGGTGTGGTTTCTCTCGTCGTCTGAAGAGCAATCCGAGGAGTTGTACAAGAAGTTGTCACCTTCATCATCGTCACTGTCCCTGAAGTCTCTTATTCTGTTACTTTTTGCAGAACCAGTCTTTTGATAATCCGTTTGTTCCTGTCTGTCCGATTTCTCCTGGCTGTTTTTGTTGCTTTTCTTATTCTCAGCCTCCTGCGCGGCTTGCTCTTTGGCCTTCTTGCTCCGTTTCCACTTCATCCGCCTGTTCTGGAACCAAATTTTCACCTGAAAATGAAAATAACAAATATTTGTGAGAAAATGTGTTGAAAAAAATCGTTATTACATTAATTGGCCGTTTTTGAATATGCATAAGCGCCTTGCTTAATGGACACCTACAGCACCACCTGACTTGACTATATAACACACAACAAAATAACAGTGTTTTAATGTAAAACTGATTGAATAGCCTAATAGTGGTATGTTTCGCAATGGCTCTCAAACAAACATGTATTTGTTAGAAATGTTGCTCTTATATACCTGCGTTTCTGTCAGCATCAAGGATGTAGCTACCTCAAAGCGCTTTGGTCTTGACAGATACTTATTCAGTTTGAATTGATGCTCCAGCTCCAGCAGCTGCTGACTTGTGAATGCAGTCCTTGGTCTTCTGCACTTTCCAAGCAAGTTTGACTGGGCCTGAGCTGGAAAACAAAATATAAGTCCATTTCTAGTCATGAGGTCAAGAAAAAAGCACGACAACCTGTGTGCATGTTTTTACATTAGGATTATGCACGCATTTGGCTGCATTATTCGATAGGCAGACCTAGGCTATATTAATAATCATGATGAAGGAATAATAGGCATATGGGTCCTAACTGAGCTAGCAATTTCCTTTAGGCCTATGATATAGGCTAGCAAGATGTACTTTTGTAATAAGCAGATTGAAAAAGAAACGGTAATCATTTCAGCTTAAAATGGGGAATTTGTTGCTGAATATTAAATGGCTAAAAGTTTGAACTGAAACTGATTTAAATGGATAGAAATGTGTGCGTTTTTGCACACTGCCTCCTCAAGAAACAGTACGAGTTCCGGTTAAAAATTGCCAAAATATTGTTAGTAGCCAACATCTAACATTGTCATATAATATGTATTCAATGAGAGCTAAGCTATTTGCCACCTCATTTTGAACAAATCTGTTAAAACGAATAGGAACAAAAAGGCAGTATCTGGTGAGCAAACAGTGTGTCGGTTGTGGGTTTCACACTCCTCTGTCACTTTCCAACTGTCCATTATCTGTCCATTTTAGTTCCTCTCTGAAAACCTATCACCCTCTCTCCTCTCACTCAAACATACTTTTTGTCTGGGAACATTTCTTCACCAAGTTATGGGACCATAATGTAAAATGCGTCAATTTACTTGCCACGTGTAAAGCAAAAACAATTATTTATTAGCAGTCCAAAAATAATGTAATATAAGTAAAAGCATAAACGACAAACTATGAAAAATAAAGGCCAGGTATACTCACAATACTCACAGTTAAAATCGGGCATTTTGGGTAGCATCATTCCCGCCGTGGAGACTCGCAGCCAGTGGTCGAGCTGAAACGTCCCCGCAGAGAGTTTGAGGGAGTCGCTGGGATGGTGGTGATGGGACCCATGCGGATATGAGTAGGACAGGGCAGGGTGCTGCCCGAGGGAATAGGTATACATGGGGTGGCCGTAGAGAGCCTGAGGAGGGATCCCTGCGCTACTCTGTGGATGTAATCCAACCATACTGTGGGGACTGTTCAAGAAGCCTGGTTTAGGAATCAAACCACAGGAGGAAATCCTCGGTGGAGACGGAGTCTCAGTCCGTAAAGAGTCGGCATTCAATTCTGAGGCTTGTACACTTCCGGACGATGAAATGGAAGAGGAGGATAAAGAAGTCACAAGCGCAAGCGGAGATGTCTGCACCTTCGGCGGGTCAACAGCGAGAAGCGCATCGATGCGGAAATTTGTAGATTTCTCCATTTGAACCAGTGTCCCCGTCGTTTGCAGACGTTGAACAGTTAGTTGCCTATCAAAACGATGTTGAAGTGTCGTCGTTGTTCCACCTCTCAACGTTTTGATCTCGGTTAAAGTGTGAACAGTGAAACTCTACGTGACACTTTATTCCTATTTGATAGGGGATTGGTTCCACCCGTTTGGCATGTGGTTGTCCCATTGGTCAATTGAAGCCATGTTTACAGTGCGCTTTTTTTTGGCACATTGCATACCTCTCCAATAAATTACTCGTCCCACTTTGGTTGTGTTGTTTTTAAATAAGTTTAAAAAACATTTTCATTCAACAATGAAAATTATAGAAATGTTGCATAAAACGGATAGACTTAACAAACATGCTTGAGAGCTTGTATTGACATTAATTAGAGTTACATTATGTAACTTTAATTTAATTCCGTTGTGAAGACTTCAACCTATAATGCCTCGTGATTGCTACCATGGGTAAACTATTCAAAGGAAAACTATTAAAATCATTTTTGTGTAGGTCATTGTGAAGAGAATCGTTTGCCATTCACCATAGTGACAGGGCTCGTTATTGTAGCCTACAATATATATGTATTTATTTCTGCAATGTAAGACAATCGGTGGGCATCGAGGGGCCAGTGGAAACCTTAACTTCAGATCCGCGTGCGTATCCAATTTTCGACATGGGCGCATATATTTCATTAGGCCTACATTTTGCCCCACAACCATGTAGGCCTATTCAATGTATTGGATTTTCATGACTTATCTAGCCTACGTTTTATACAGTTTAGCAATGACAGACATATTTCCCAAAATATTTTGGATGAGGCCTATACAGTTGCATAATAGGCCTATTCATTTGTTATGCCTGAAAACGTATGCCTTTATCGCACCATGCAAGATATATTCCTCCCCCAAAAATGTTAACGTCACAAATGAACAACTGTGTCTATGCATGACCCGGAGATCTTACGAGCCCAACTGGGAAATGTAGCTAAGAGCCTGCCTTATACCTCTACCCAAACCCGAGAGATCGAATAGTCCTACATTTATTGCACTGTCCCAAAATATAAATGTGAAATGTAGGCCTAACTGTCTTGATATAATGGAGTGCATAGCCTCCCGGAACCCTGCAAAAATAAAGGTCTTATATGATGACTTGATGTTTTTTTGTGTGTTTGGGGTGAACTCAATGCAACACATTTACCATATTAGGGGACACTTTTTTTAAGCTCCTTTAATTTATGTTTGACTTTTCAAAGTGTATCAAATTAGAAAATAATTCTAATTAGGGTAAGACCATATCTATTTGAAGATTTTGAACTCACCTAGCTGCCCCCTGGATCTATTCCTTCATGCCTCTGCATGCACCTGCTAAATACACACCTCACCTCAGGCTGTAGACTTCGTTTTCCAAGAAAACATACAAAACCACCACAAATTTGGTCCAACTTTTTTACATTTTAGCCTATAATTTATGGCAATTATGGAAACGCAATTGTGAAAGTGCACTAATTGTCATCATATAAGACAAAAAAGTGCATCCGTAGTATAGCTGAATAAATTGAGCGCGCAAAATATGAAGCATAGAATAGTTCGTTATTAGAGCTATAGGCTTCATGTAGGCCTATAGATAGCTCTGGGGGTGGTTGTCTTTTGGTCTAATAAGCCACTTAAAGTTAATGGAGGAAGAGGTCAAAATGAGAATTATTGACACCCTGTTGCCCTTAACCTGTCTCCCAATAAAGCTGATTAGTTTTTGTCAATTCATCAGCTAACCACTCTCTTGGGACCGGCGCAGACGTTTATTTGCTCTGGGGAAATCAACAAGTCACGGGGTAGTTCCAAGTAAAGGATCACCATTTAATTGGAAACCTTGATAATATCATGACCGATTACGGAATAATAGCTGAGTCTTAGATTGATGTGTGGCATCGTGTAATATGAGTCCACGTATGCACCACAAAATTAGAAAACTTTAACCTAAAAGCTAATCCAATAATGGCATTGGGGTTATCTTGATATGGCTTTTATCTCGCTCAGGCCTCAGATAATTTTCGCCTTTCGACATTTCGAACATGGATTAATTTGTCTTTTTTATGATGAGCTTTGAGATCCGTTAAGAAAACGTTTTGACAGTCCAATTTCGGCAGTTTTTGAATTTATGAACAGCATCTAAGTATTCTGAATCACGAAAACATCTCGCTTTCATTATTTTCTTAATATCTTAACAGTGCCACACCGTTTGATCTGTGCTTTGTCCCCACCACCGTTTTAATTTCATTAAGGGGCCACATGAATATTTCTATTAAAGCACCAGTGAAATATGAAGCCATTTAGTATTGGCCTGCACCAATCACGGAGATTTATTGCCCTTTTTCATCACATCAACAGGAAGGAAAATTAATATGGCACCCTGAGATGGAAGTGGACCCTAAAACCCGTCTTTCCTGAAAGGTGTTAATTTGCGCCGTAATTACTTACACAATTAACTAAAATACAAATCAAAGTGACAAATCGAGATAGTTTATATATTAATTACCCTCGGTAAATGTGTTCATTGTGAAAATGCAATTTAAGGGGACCTGCACTGTCTCTTTTATTGCAATAAATACATTCAATTAAATTGGCACAAATGACCACTGGCTTGAAATGTATAGGACTGTTTTTAAACACATTTGTGGCTCATAATCATTTTATCAATTGAATTTGTTGAGGAAGCAGAGCAGGCCTATTTCTTTCCATATAAGACCTTGGATGATAGACTCCATTACTCGACATCATTAGTGGCAAGATTACATTCTGCAAGACCTATACATATGATTTTTGTAGACTGCTGGAACTGAGTAGAGAACTAATTTCTCTGCAACACACGCAAGATGTCTAAACGTCCTTCTTGAAATTCAATATTGCTGGCTAATTTGTTGGAGACGTGCCATCAATTTTGTTTGGCTGCAGAGAAGTATTGATAATTTATCTCAATGTCCTTCAGCATGGTGACATGAACCACTCAATAGAATGGAACTTGTGCTATAGGCCTATTATAATGCACATCTTTTTTTATTTTGGAGGAAAATAGCAGTCGTTTTTAAGGTTCTCATAAAAAAGTGACCAATTGCAATGGCCTGATAATTTATTTTGAGTAAACATCCAATGAATGAAAATGATTCAAAGCGTTAAAAAGTTTTATTCAAAATTGCTGATAATTTTATTTATTAGATAAATGTCCATTATTGGTAATAATGCAACATTGTTAAAAATGAATTATTATTATTATTATTATTATTATCCATATTGGTGTTGTTGTTGTTTAGGCCAATCACATCGTCATAAACAACAAGTAGCCTAGGCCTATCATCAGCACCACCATCCACTGTCATCATCAACCTATAGTCTGCTAGAATTATACCCTTTAAAAGTTATAGGTTTACCTTTCTGTAATTGAACGTGTTGACGGTGAAACAATTTTATTTCATGAACCCAACGAAAATCTTCAATTCCATGGAGTGACGGACAAATCAGTCTGCTTTCTTGTTGTAAAATTTCTACATTTACATTTTAGCAGACGCTCTTATCCAGAGCGACTTACAGTTAGTGAGTGCATACATTTTCATACTGGCCCCCCTGGCCCCCCGTGGGAAACGAACCCACAACCTTGGCGTTGCAAGCGCCATGCTCTACCAACTGAGCTACACGGGGCCATCTACTTAATGAGATGACACGAGACACAGGGATTGACGATCTGAAATGTTGTCGAGGTAATCTTCTAAAGTCTGTGTTTCCAGTTGACACTGGAATTGATTCATTGTGCACCTGTCAAAGTGTTAAGCAACCATGTTTATTATTTAATACAATTACTTTACAGACCTCCGAAACTGGCTATTTTAAGTTGTTTTTTGTTTGTTTTTCTGAATGAGTGCTTATTTGTTTGTTTGGTTTTGCAGAAGCTGCAGCTGCTCTTCCTGCGTGCTAATAAGAAATATCGCTGTGATATGTTATTTAATATTTTGCATTTACGGATTTTTAAACACAAGCAAAGAAAATCACAACTAATGGATGTGACAAAACAGGGCGCTATTTAAAAAGAATAAAGAATAAAGGGCACCTGTGTTCAGCAAAATGAATGTTTAATGCCTTCTGCACAAAAGAAATACATTGATGATGACGCAATTGAGTATGATTAACACTATCACTGTTTAGACTTTTACATCAAGTGTCTTTAAGAGAAAAATATACTAAAATGCACTTCGTGCTAAATTGCACCCCCTAATACATATTTTTATCCATTAGCAAACTGCAATGAATTTCCTTGAGGAGCATCCATCACCCAAAAACCTGTTTCTCCTTATTTTCCGTCAATCCTTTCTACTTCCTATTCGGGGGAGATGTAGTGACGTGACATCCCACAGACAGTAAATTATGATGATTTATTTTCTAAAAATACACTTCAAACCTGTGGGCTTAAATGGATTAGATTAGATGTAGCTACAACACCATGCAGTCCTTCCATTTTTCAACGCTGAATGAATCTTTGACAGGCCAGAGGTTTATGGTATTTTGAAATGTGTACCTATAGTCCCCATCTTGATGTCTTGACTTGGTCCTGAGACAAAAACAAGGAAATATGTATAAACAAAAAAAGGTGAGGTCATGATGGGTGCCCTTATCCTTTGTCCATTACTGTGGCAACTCTAAACAGCTAGGTTACCACTTGTGATTTGTCCACGTTAAGAAATTGTTCAGCTGTACAGTGTGAATGTGTTGATGAGTTTTCATGGACGTGTTTAAGACAGAAATTATTGTGGGGGTGAGCAGGTAAACTGACAACTTAATGTCTGAAATTTCTGCAACTCACTGTAACAATAAAATAATGAAAATGTCTTGACAATGATATACTGTATGACTTCTAATTGCACATAAGATAGCACAAATGATTGCCCTTCTTTGACCTAATGGAGGGTGGCAAGTGATTTAAGTATCTCAGGAGAATTACTGGATTAGCTCTTTTCAAACAGAAAAAGGATTAAATCAATCAAATCATTCTGAACAGAAATGGGAGATTGAGTGAACAGTAGCAATGGTAATCAAAATTGTTAAAATGATTTAAAAACAATTCAAATAACTGCAACAGTTGGACAATGGGTGAAGATACTCCAAACCTTTTCAATTTTTAAAATCCATCTGATATTGACTGAATTATAGCAGAGACAAATAATGAATGACATTCAGTGATTCAATTTATTGTCAAATTTCACTTTTTTTCTTAGAATGCACTCATATATACATTTTCTAATGGTATCAGGTTTTATTTTATTTTATATTTAATGTTAAAATAAAGACAATTACATGTGCGATATTTGCATACATGCGATGTGGCTATTTGCATATATGAATAAATTAACATAAACAGGTGGAACAGGACTGTAACCACCAAAAACTTGCTCTATTTAGGCCAATGACTGTATATATGAGGCTAGCCCTTGATCATGACTCTCAGTTCCACACGTAAGAGTCATTGGATGAAGGCCTCTTCTGTATGGGGAAGTTTTGTTAAGAGCCCCAACGCTCAATCTGAACATTAACATGCATTGCTTGAGGTACGGTTTTGGAAGCATAAGGACCGTAGCTTTCATATCAGCAATAAATAATTGTTTACAGTAAACAGAAGGAAGACAAGAGCTAATTAGCTTTCTAGCATGCTCCAAACACCTGTGGGTCAGCATACCTTGGGAAGTGTATTAGAAGTGTAGTTTAGTTGGATGGAGGCACCCATAGCTGTATGGATCTATGCAAAACTGCTACAGTAAGTTTATCTTTTTTATTGGAAGGATTCTTTCTCGCTGATGAAAGATAAAGGCCATAAGTTTCGAAAGACATATCACACAAGATATGATTATTAACATTTCTAAACTTTAAAAACAGCATTGGGATTGTAGTTCACATGATGGGTAGAGGCTAATGGCTGAAAATGACAGAATTCCACCTATAGTATGAGAGCTAATATGACGCCTACCTACACCTGCGCTGTCTTGACTGCCTCATTAATGTTGTTGTCAAATTCTGTTGCATAATTCAACAAGTGTGTCAATAGCAGGATACCCTCGTATTTAAAATCAACAGGTTTGACTCTAGATTACAACTATCTATACATACTTCACATTGTTTGCGAGATCAGACATAATATCACTATAATCCAGGTGTTAATGTTCGTTAGTTGCTTACATTTCAGTGCATCTCATTTGTAAACATTTCAACTGTATTAAATTATTAATTTGTTCAATTCCACAAAAAATTAACACACATTAAAATAAAGTTTTTTCTTTCTTCTCTTTCTTGTGATGTAAGTATCGAGATGATGCGTTAAATCCCAGACGATGCATTCTTATAGATGCAACGAAAGACAATGTATTCCATTGAGCCCATTTCAGCCTTTACCAGGGTTTTTGGACCGGTCATTAAAACGTTTCCGTGGTCAAAACGTTAACAGAAAAAACGACAGGCACAAGCATGAGGACGAAAGAGTCGCAGGAGTAAAATGAAAGTAATCAATCCAGCGAAATTTAAGTGACAAGTAGATTTTGCACCCCTCAAACACAGGAAATACTATAGATGGCTGAAAAATACAGATCTCAGGTGGGCGGGGCATGCACGTTGCTAGTGAACAGCAGCAGTTTCAAGTCCAGTCCTAAATAAGACAGTCAGGGTCATATGCATAAGTAATTTAGAGAACATTTTTAACAAGATGTTTAAGGTTTGGCCATCTTGTCTTCTTTCAATTCATAAATGTACACTATCAATGCATCTAACATTGTATCAAAGTTGCATATCATAGACCTATTTCTATTTTTCTCTATTCTTTAGAGATAGTTGTGGTTGAACTAGGCCTATTGTATACTCTAATGTCTATTGCAGGATAAATAATATCAGCATAATGTATGTCAGTGGTTCCCAACCTTTTTCGATTACTGTATCACCAACTGAATTTTGCTCTGCTCGGAGTACCCCTGAAGTACCCCTCATGTGCATTTTACCAGTAAGCCTATGGTCTCATGAGTCTTCTCAAGTACTCCCTGTGGATAGGCGAAGTACACACAGGGGTCCTAGTACCCCTGGTTGGGAACTACTGCTGTATGTTGATTTGAATCCGTAACAAATCCTTTGAAAATCCACTCTGCTTCCTGTTGCTCCCCGGACCAAGGCACCAGCTGAAGAGGATCCAATGAGAGGACCAATAATGCCAAACCGAGTTTTGTTGACATTGCATTCAGCGAATAGCATTTGAGCATTGAAACGAGCGTCCAATCGGATTTCAGTATTCTGAAGAGGCGGATGTACCCGTTTATGTTGTGTTTCTGGAAAGAAGGGGAGAAGGAGAAAACAATACATTTTTGTTTAATTTAGTATCGCACAAAAGTCTTATGTACTTTTTAATTTATGTTGGTCGTTTCATAAATCAAAGGTAATCAAAATACAGTTCATGTATTTTTTTTTGTCCAAACGATGTATTGTATTTTAACAAATATGTCAAAAGAGGATAGCCATGATTAGCTAGCTACTAGCTAGAAAGGCGACCTGCCCCCGTAAAGTTAGCTAGCCAGTTAACGTTTGCTAACTGGCTAGCTATAATGTCAAAAGAGTCATGTACGCACGAATAAAGTAACTTGGGGATTGTCTGTACATCTGATGTGATTTAATTTCTGAAGTAGCGGCAGATAGACCACCAACAGCGATGTATACACAAGCTGCTGAGTCATTAGCTAACATGCTAGCCAGTCTTGCGTAGCGTCCAGTGGCAGTGTTGTCTTTGGTGTTGTGCAATTAAAACCACAATAGTGACGTTTGCTAGCTAACAAATATAACCGGAAAACAGTTGACAATGTAGATAGCTAATGCACTAGACAGGCATCTACAAGGCGTCAATGATTTCCCCACAAAAGGCGCTGTAGCTAGCTAGTTAGAAAGTCACTTGTGTCGGTTGGGGAATTGTAACGACAGTAGCTATCCAGTTACACTTTTCACTAGTTGTGGGTATTTTTTCATGTCTCTTCCACAAATATTATCGATGTGGGAAGTGTAGCTAACAATTTGACGTGTTGATAATTTAGCTAGCTAGCTATAATAATCTTGATAATTTGTTCTGGATGGTGTCAGACCGCTAGCCAGCAAATTAATTGAATGTTTTACTTTCATTTTCAGATTGCTGTAGCACCCACTTTGTAAAGTCCGGAATTGAATAAAGTCAAGGATCCTTCATTGATGGTTAGAAAAATCTAACCATGAGCTTCAGCTTTGAGGGAGATTTCAAAACAAGACCCAAGGTGTCTCTTGGGGGTGCGAGTAAAAAGGTAAGACCACTATGATATTAACCTTACCTGCTGTATAGAAATGGCTACTGTACTATTTCTATTGCTAGCTAGCTTCTTCACTTCACTTTTCTTCTAGTCGTGTAAAGTACAGGAGGTTGGTGGCACCTTAATTGGGGAGAACGGGCTCGTGGTAATGACTGTAGCAGAATCAGTGGAATGGTATCAAACGCATTGGTTTCCAGGTGTTTGATGCCATTCCATTTACACCATTCCGGCCATTATTAGCAGCCTCCACTGGTGTAAAGCTAACTTTAATATACTTTGACTTTCAGGAGGAAAAAGCATCTCTCCTACACCGGACACAAGAGGAAAGGAGAAAAAGAGAGGTAGTCCTTTGTGTGAAACACACTTGTGATGTAAAATCGTCCAGTGTTCTATGTGAACTTCAAATACAAAGTTGGATTGTAAACCAAACATTATTTACTTTCTCTGTTTATTTATTTACTTTACTCTGTTTTTCAACTTCAATAAGGATGAAAGACGAAGATTGAAGAACGCAATTATCATTCAGTCCTATATACGAGGATACCATGACCGAAAACAGCAAGTATGTCTACTAACATGAACAAGTTCATTCTTGGGTTTCAATGCCATACCCTTTCACTCTCCCTTATTTTGCCAGCAATCCCTTTTCCACAGCCTTATATTGCTGATGGCAATGTGTATAGATACTTCATTGTGTACACTATCAAGTGATCATCCCTATAACTGTCAATGTGTTTGAACTTTGACCCTGCTTTTTTCCAGTATGCCTACCAGAGGGGCAACTTTGACCGCTGCGTCTGCCAGGCACAGTCAGAAGGTGGACCGCCAATGTCCGACGCTGCCATTCTCAGTCTCCTAACGAGACAACTCCTGTTTTTCTACAGACAGAGTGAGGATTCACAGAGATTGGTGAGGACCAATGTTTTTTTTGAGTGTTATTGAACTAATGAAAAACTTGTGTAAAATGTGATGTCTTGTGAGTGGGAACCTGACACAACATTTCTGTCTGTGTCTCTGTAGATATGGATTTGTCAGAACCTAGTGAAACACAATGGGCAGTTTGTGAAGCTGCTGGCGGGGCCCAAGAGACAGACGTGTGTGTTTCAGATCAAGAGGGTCCTGGGCTTCTGCTGCAGGTAATGGGGCCTACACCTATTCTTCATGAATACGTTCCGGGGTGAAGTTTCCCCTAGGTATAGATCTAGGATCAACTTCCCCTCCTCCAATCCTAACCTTAACTATTAGTGGGAACATTTTTAAACTGATCCAAGAATGGTGTGGCTGTTGAACAAGTTGAGGAGACTAAATTACTTGGTGTTACCTTAGATTGTAAACTGTCATGGTCAAAACATATAGATTCAATGGTTGTAAAGATGGGGAGAGGTCTGTCCGTAATAAAGAGATTATCTGCTTTTTTGACACCACACTCCACAAAGCAAGTCCTGCAGGCTCTAGTTTGATCTTATCTTGATTATTGTCCAGTCATATGGTCAAGTGCTGCAAAGAAAGACCTAGTTAAGCTGCAGCTGGCCCAGAACAGAGCTGCACGTCTTGCTCTTCATTGTAATCAGAGGGCTAATATTAATACTATAAATGCCAGTCTCTTTTGGCTAAGAGTTGAGGAAAGACTGACTGCGTCACTTCTTGTTTTTATAAGAAACATGAATGTGTTGGACATTCCAAATTGTTTGCATAGTCAACTTACACACAGCACTGACCCACACACTTACCCCACCAGACATGCCACCTGGGGTCTTTTCGAGTCCCCAGGTCCAGAACAAATTAAATGAAATGTACAGTATTATACAGAGCCATGAGTGCATGGAACTCCCTTCCATCTTATATAGCGCAAGGGAACAGAAAACCTAGTTTCAAAAAACAAATAAAGCAACACCTCACGGCACAACGCCTCTCCCCCATGTGACCTACTTGTTGTGTGTATGTACTGACATGTATGTGTAACTGATAGATGCACACACACACACTACATGTTATTTTCTTTTTATGTATGCAAATTGTGAAGTCTTCTGTCTGTAATGTCTTTTTCGTTATGTGTCGGACACCAGTAAGGCTAGCTGTCGCTAATGGGGATCCTAATAAATCAAATTAAGATCAGCATCTAGGGGCAACTTCACCCTACAGCCATGAATGCATTGATGAACAAATCAATAAAATATGAGGTTATTACACCCCTATAACAGCGTTTCTCCATCTTTCCTAGACTTCTGCAGACCTGCAAGGATGACAGTTTGAATGTTGCCGTTCCCATGAGGATGCTGGAGATCTTTTCTACAGAGAGAACCTATCTTCCTGTCCTTGAAGACATTAATTGTGTAGCATCGTTAATCGAGCAGATTTTGCACTATATGGTACAGAAAGGTAAGTATTGTGATGGTTTCACTGCTGTTACAGTGCAAAATACGTTTTCTTTTGTTAATGCTCATTTTCAAGCCCTATTGAATTTGACCTCTTGCATCTTTCTTTCTCTCTCACTAACTCACTCACACAGGATACTACAGGTCACTTTATATTCTAGTGAATCACAAGCTCCCTTCCAGTCTGGAGTACAGTGATGCTCCCTCTGGAGCACCCGCTATCCCCTTGGCAAGCACACTGCTGGAGCACACGCTGAAGCCCCTGCACTTTACCTACTCCTCCTGCACTACAGGCGCAAGGTAAGTTGAGGTCTCCCCTAGGTACAGATCTAGCATCAGCCTCCCCTCTTCCAATCAATCCTAACCGTAATCATTAAGGGACGGACAGACCAGTAGGATTGTAGAGCGTTTGCCGGCCGAGAGTACTTACTTCTGAACAGAGTGCCGGTCGTATACATTTGCAAACCTATTCTATATGTCGAAATGGGCGAAAATGACGACTGTCCGTCGTCCACAGGCGGGTGATCCCTATAACACACCGCGCCGACGGCAAGTGAACAAACGGTGAATGAGCGGCCCCTTACTGTACAGACCGACAGTCGGTCTGGTGAGTTTTCTCTTTTTAGTGGGAAAAATGCTAAACTGACCCAAGATCAGTGTCAATGAGCAACTTTACCCTATTCCAGGTATAATAGCAGGAGTAGCGTCTAAAACGACAACAGTCACCAGAACAGTCAAACACACACACACAAATGAACTGAAGCTGAAGTTAACTAGAACACACACACAGTGTCCTGAAGTCAGACCCCCTCAAAGTTAAACCTTCAACACATTAAAACCCCCTCACAAACAAAGCATCCTGGCATCAGCGACTGCTGAGCACGTGGGAAAGAGCACAGTGAGGGGCTAGGAGCGGAATGCCTTTGTCTGTGGCGTATGCTGTTAAAATTGTCCAGTAAACCGAAAATGTAAACTTTGGGCATTTGTTTGTCCTTCGAGTCGGCGGGACACCGTAATTGATTCACCAACCTGTTTACAACGAGCAATAAAACTGACCCAGACTCGGAGGACAGAATATCGACTATTTGCTCTCAATTTTCAACATTCTTAATGACAAACGAGGGGGGCGTTCTTTTCTTTTTGAAGAAAAACAGGGGACAGGGTGTGAGAAACTTGGCTACATACATTCACTCCAACGGCTAATTATCTGACCGGGGCCACCAGATGTGTGAGTTACTCAGTCAAAACAGCTCTGTTTGACAAGACAATATTGGGGCACTCACAGAGCTGAAAGGAGACACCTACTCGCTCAGTCAAACTCTATTGTCCCTGTTTGGGTAGCCTAATGAGTTTAAAGGATCACTTTTCTTTAGAAACAGACTTTTGGCTCTGTACTGAAAGTCCTCGATCTTCAAGTTGACTGCTGACATTTTTTGGGATTGTGTAAACAGTGTGAACATTCATTTTTGATGTAAATACATTTTGATCTTTTGATATCTGACCTAGTACTTGAACACTGCATTGTTGAGGAAGAGCTTGTAGGTAAGCATTTCACTGGACTGTTTTACACCTATTGTATCCTGTACACGGGTCGTTCCACGAAATGAGTCCCTTTTGTGGCCCTTTGATATTTTAAGTAGAAATTGTGCATCGATATTTAATTTTAAAAGTTTGTTATATTAAATGAAGTGTTCTTTAATATTGACCACATGGAAAATTCAATAAAATATTTTTTTTTATGTGAAAAAGACTTGCTAAAGTGCCAAAATTCAGCATTTTGACATGTCCCTCTGTGACTTCTAGGAAGATTTTAACCTACTTAACCTGAACATTTCTCCAAGTTTTAACTATCATTGTAAAGCCCTATTTATGTTGTTGCTTTTACAATGTCATTTCTGAAGATTATTATTAATTCCATGTGATTAGTGATTCATTTTAAGGTAAAAAACAACAACAACCTGTACCTCATTTTAAGGTCAACCATGTTACTTAAACTGAACTCAAGTTTTAATATGATGGAACGATAAAAAAATTAATAATAATAATCCAAAGAAAAATTGAACATCTAGTAGTCAAATCATAGTGTAAGCAGGTGAGCTCGTTCTACTATTTCTGGACATTTTCTGATGTTTTGTGGTGGAAAACTGAGCGGGTTGAGCATAACACGTCAACCCTGTTACCCATAGATAGACAGGCTAGAAATGTTTGAACAATTTGCATTCAATTGCCCCTCCCTGTTGCAGACAATAAGCTTCCATTCCCCCCGTCACAAGGGGATTGATGGCTTATTTAAGATAAAATCGTCAACCCTGTTATGGTCAACCCTGTTACTTTATTTGGCACTTAATAGGCACTAACTATAGTACTTTTTTTAGTTTAACCTATTTAGTTGGGGGAAAAAAATGTTCTTGCTAATTGTAACGTTCTGTCTTAAAGAGCACATGCTCTTTAAGACAGAATGTTCCTTGTGCCCTTTATGACACAATGTTCCATGTGCTCTTTACAACAGAATGTTAAAATTAGGAAAAAAGAAATAATCTAGACAGTTCATATGTTTATTGGTCGTAGTGTAACATATTTGTAAATATTGATTTGTGATCAATTGGCTTTATCCAATGTCATTATCATGTAGTGAACAGTGAAAACCAACTTATCCATTCTACAATGTGGGGAATGTACACGGCTCTACTCCAGGCATTTGTGTATTGACAATACATTTCTCTCCCTCTCTCTCTCCGGTTCCACAGGCAGTTTGTGTTTGAGGCCTTCACTGAGGAGTTCATCTCGGCGCCGTTCACGGAGCAGATCTTTCATTTCTTTATTCCGGCGCTGTCCGACCCGCGCCTCCACTTCCCCTTCGAGGCCTTCCTGGGCTCCCTGCAGGCCACCGTAGTCTCCTCCGCAGCGGCGCTGAAACATGCGCCGTGGCTCTTCTACTTTGTCCTCTCGGCCGGGGAGACCTGCCTGGGTAAGTGGCTGCGTCCAAAATGGTACTATATTCCCATAGGGCTCTGGTGAAACGTAGTGCAATATGTAGATAATAGGGTGCCATTTGGGACACAAGTTTTGTGGACAGTGTGTGGGGAATTTACTCTTGTGTACCAGCAGACACACTGACATGAGGAGTTGGAGGGAATGACCAGAAAAAAATCTATAGTGATAGGGAGAGTGGTTGTAATGTTGTCTGCTTGTGTGCAGGTTCATTATCAGAGGAGGGCCTCCAGCTGTACCTGCGAGCTCTGCAGGCCCTCCTGCCTCTCCTCCCCGTGTCAGAGAGCACCAGCAGGCCGGAGGTCATCAGTGACTCTGAGGACGAGGAGGACACCAACATCCAGGCTCCGTCCACACAGGTAGCTAGCTAACACACACACACCACTAATGTGTCAGTACAGGTAACAACCAAATTCAGGAATGGTACACTGCAGGTCACAGGTAATGCATATAGTTCAGAATGCCCTGTTACTTCACAGGCAGCATTTTCTAATGAAAACGGCTTACATCTGACTACAGGTATTGCACACTACTAGCAGACCATAGCCCTATCCACACTGCCTCTAGGCACCTCACGATTAACACCCTGGCCCGTATTCATAAAGCGTCTAAGAGTAGGCGTGCTGATCTGGGATCAGGTCCGCCTCTGGCCATACGATCCTATTCATTATGATTGAAATGCAAAAACTGATCCCAGATCCTACTGACGCTTTATGAAAACAGGCCCTGCTATAGCCTACTTACTGAAACAACTCACCCACCTATTGCGTGTGAACTCGATGGTTGCAGGATGACAGCTATCGGATATCGGTGCAGCTGATCACGGAGGAGTGCATCCACAAGCTGGACACCAAGCAGCAGACGAACGCGCTGCTCAACCTGGTGTGGAGGGACTCGGCCAGCGAGGAGGTCTTCACCATGATGGCCTCCATCTGCCACACACTCATGGTGCAGCACCGCATGATGGTGCCCAAAGTCAGGTCAGTGTTCTACATCGGATCCAGTTACGTTGTTTGCGTCCTAAATGGTACCCTATTCCCTATGTAGTGCACCACTAGTGCACAATAAGTGCACTATAAAGGGAATAGGGTGCCATTTGGGATGCAGACCAAAGGTGTTACATGTCTTTACAGTGCTAGAATATCCGCTTTTGTTTTGTTTGAATCCTCACCTTAAGTTGTTTCGAGAACCTTTCTCTCGCTACGATTGTAATGAATGTTTCCAATATTCTGTATTTTTATATTTTCCCCCTTCTTTTTTTTTAACATCATCATGAAACTGGGGATAAGAATCAGCATTTATGTGTTGTAAGCAACTAATGTGAATAACGGCGAAGAAACTCAGCCGTTATTGGTCGTCTTCGCCCGAGTGGCGTTTACAACCGGCTGAGGAAGTACTAGGGATGTCAGGGAAGCTCTGAAGCTGTCACTCCTCGATTAGGGTAATTAGTCCTGGGATGGCTGATTTGGGTTGATTGCATTAGGGCAGGACGTGGATGTGAGAGGGGGAGATGGTCTCTGTCGGGGCTGAACGAGGGAGCACCTTCCTGGGCTTTACGGCACCCTGAGGGTCTCTCAACCCTTCTGGTTAATGGTTAGTAGAGCCAATGGAAGACACTACCTGTCCGTACTGTGTGGGGATGAGAGAGTGAGTGTGTATCCCAGCATGTTGTCTTTACTGAAGCGTTACTTTCACCTTTACAGGGTGAAGAACAGGGAGGGACTACCTGAATTTGTCCAGTAAGAAAACTCAAGTTTTCGTTGCAAAACGTTCGTAGGTTCAAAAAGGAATACGACCCTGTCTGATCTCATGCAAAACTTGATTCAGACATCTTTCAAGCTAACCTTTAGAACACAAAATCCCCCCAAAACGCTACCAGAGAAGATGCATTGATTTGCTTACCAAATCATTTGGTGAAATAGGCCTAGAATCCTCCTCCCTAAGTATTTTCTATAATTCTTTACAGCTTCCTTTGGTCCAAACGCTTTTACCATAAATCCTGCCTCTCGTCCTCCATCATTATTGGATATCTGTGCAAAATAATTAGCTCACTGAGGAAGATTAATTAGTGGCGAAGTGGACGGGATAGCTTTACAAGAGGCTTAGGGGAGCAAATTGCATCCCGGGCCTGATTTACTGCGTTTAAAAAAGATAGTCTGCCTAGCCGGCCCTCCTGCCTCCCGCCTGACGGCCAGCCCAGCGCAATGCCTCGAATAAATATGTATCTTGTGAAAATTCTTGCTTCCTTCTTTTCATAAGAGCTCGATTCAGGCCCTGTATGTTCTGGAAGATTTGAGATGTAATCTTTAAATTTAAGACTTTTGAATTCAGGCCTGTATGTTCTGTAAGATTTGTATCTTAAGATTGAATACTTTTTTTGTAGAATAGTTTTGGTTGCTATAATCTTTGTCTTTATGGTTGGTTGGCTAAGTGGGTGGAATTTCACTTTAATTGTTTAGTGTTAGGTATTTGGTGTAATTTTACTTTGATTGTTGTTTAGCCTCAGCCTGAGGTGGTACTCTGTCACTAACTGATGGTCACGACAACTGTAAGTGCTAGCAAGCCTCTGTCCTTTATTTGTTTCTGTGCGCTTGCTGTGATTGTGGAGTTTACATGAGATAATGACACTCGGGCAATGAGAACAAACTCTTTCTGCCACTGGCACTGACTCGAAGGCCCTAATGATTTAGGCCTAAGGTAGTTTTACATAAATAAAGCAGAATTTTAAGCAAATTACTATTTGAGCTCAATTCAATCCGTACTATAGCAAGATTTGATTAATTTGCAGCGTATACCATGAATGCATTCTCCGCTATCGTGGAGAAACTGAAAAACTGCTTCTATCTCAAGGCCATCAGACTGTTACAGTGGGGGAAAAAAGTATTTAGTCAGCCACCAATTGTGCAAGTTCTCCCACTTAAAAAGATGAGAGAAGCCTGTAATTTTCATCATAGGTACACGTCAACACGTCAATAATCCAGAAAATCACATTGTAGGATTTTTAATGAATTTATTTGCAAATTATGGTGGAAAATAAGTATTTGGTCACCTACAAACAAGCAAGATTTCTGGCTCTCACAGACCTGTAACTTCTTCTTTAAGAGGCTCCTCTGTCCTCCACTCGTTACCTGTATTAATGGCACCTGTTTGAACTTGTTATCAGTATAAAAGACACCTGTCCACAACCTCAAACAGTCACACTCCAAACTCCACTATGGCCAAGACCAAAGAGCTGTCAAAGGACACCAGAAACAAAATTGTAGACCTGCACCAGGCTGGGAAGACTGAATCTGCAATAGGTAAGCAGCTTGGTTTGAAGAAATCAACTGTGGGAGCAATTATTAGGAAATGGAAGACATACAAGACCACTGATAATCTCCCTCGATCTGGGGCTCCACGCAAGATCTCACCCCGTGGGGTCAAAATGATCACAAGAACGGTGAGCAAAAATCCCAGAACCACACGGGGGGACCTAGTGAATGACCTGCAGACAGCTGGGACCAAAGTAACAAAACCTACCATCAGTAACACACTACGCCGCCAGGGACTCAAATCCTGCAGTGCCAGACGTGTCCCCCTGCTTAAGCCAGTACATGTCCAGGCCCGTCTGAAGTTTGCTAGAGTGCATTTGGATGATCCAGAAGAGGATTGGGAGAATGTCATATGGTCAGATGAAACCAAAATATAACTTTTTGGTAAAAACTCAACTCGTCGTGTTTGGAGGACAAAGAATGCTGAGTTGCATCCAAAGAACACCATACCTACTGTGAAGCATGGGGGTGGAAACATCATGCTTTGGGGCTGTTTTTCTGCAAAGGGACCAAGACGACTGATCCGTGTAAAGGAAAGAATGAATGGGGCCATGTATCGTGAGATTTTGAGTGAAAACCTCCTTCCATCAGCAAGGGCATTGAAGATGAAACGTGGCTGGGTCTTTCAGCATGACAATGATCCCAAACACACCGCCCGGGCAACGAAGGAGTGGCTTCGTAAGAAGCATTTCAAGGTCCTGGAGTGGCCTAGCCAGTCTCCAGATCTCAACCCCATAGAAAATCTTTGGAGGGAGTTGAAAGTCTGTGTTGCCCAGCGACGGCCCCAAAACATCACTGCTCTAGAGGAGATCTGCATGGAGGAATGGGCCAAAATACCAGCAACAGTGTGTGAAAACCTTGTGAAGACTTACAGAAAACGTTTGACCTGTGTCATTGCCAACAAAGGGTATATAACAAAGTATTGAGAAACTTTTGTTATTGACCAAATACTTATTTTCCACCATAATTTGCAAATAAATTCATTAAAAATCCTACAATGTGATTTTCAGGATTATTTTTTCTCATTTTGTCTGTCATAGTTGACGTGTACCTATGATGAAAATTACAGGCCTCTCTCATCTTTTTAAGTGGGAGAACTTGCACAATTGGTGGCTGACTAAATACTTTTTTTCCCCACTGTAAATAGTCATCACTAGGCGGCTTCCACCCGGTTACGCAACCCTGCACCTTAGAGGCTGCTGCCCTATATACATAGACTTGGAATCACTGGCCACTTTAATAATGGAACACTAGCCACTTTAATAATGTTTACATATTTTTGCTTTACTCATCTCATATGGTTGCATCACCGCCTGGTATGGCAACTGCTTGGCCTCCGACCGCAAGGCACTACAGAGGGTAGTGCGTACGGCACAGTACATCACTGGGGCCAAGCTTCCTGCCATCCAGGACCTCTATACCAGGCGGTGTCAGAGGAAGGCCCTCAAAATTGTCAAAGACTCCAGCCACCCTAGTCATAGACTGTTCTCCCTGCTACCGCACGGCAAGCGGTACCGGAGTGCCAAGTCTAGGTCCAAAAGACTTCTCAACAGCTTCTACCCCCAAGCCATAAGACTCCTGAACAGCTAATCATGGCTACCCGGACTATTTGCACTGCCCCCCCACCCCATCCTTTTTACGCTGCTGCTACTCTGTTAATTATTTATGCATAGTCACTTTAACTCTACCCACATGTACATATTACTTCAACTATCTCAACTAGCCGGTGCCCCCGCACACTGACTCTGCACTCTTATATATAGCCTCCCTACTGTTATTTTATTTTACTTCTGCTCTTTTTTTCTCAACACTTTTTTTGTTGTTGTTTTATTTTTACTTTTTTTGTTAAAAATAAATGCACTGTTGGTTAAGGGCTGTAAGTAAGCAATTCACTGTAATGTCTGCACCTGTTGTATTCGGCGCATGTGACCAATAAAATTTGATTTGATGTACAGTTGAAGTCAGAAGTTTACATACACCTTAGCCAAATACATTTAAACTCAGTTTTTCACAATTCCTGACATTTAATCCTAGTAAAGATTCCCTGTTTTAGGTCAGTTAGGATCACCACTTTATTTTAAGAATGTGAAATGTCAGAATAATAGTAGAGAGAATGATTTATTTCAGCTTTTATTTCTTTCATCACATTCCCAGTGGGTCAGAAGTTTACATACACTCAATTGGTATTTGGTAGCATTGCCTTTCAATTGTTTAACTTGGGTCAAACGTTTCGGGATGCCTTCAACAAGCTTCCCACAATAAGTTGGGTGAATTTTAGCCCATTCCTCCTGACAGAGCTGGTGTAACTGAGTCAGGTTTGTAGGCCTCCTTGCTCGCACACGCTTTCAGTTCTGCCCACACATTTTCTATAGGAATGAGGTCAGGGCTTTGTGATGGCCACTCCAATACCTTGACTTTGTTGTCCTTAAGCCATTTTGCCACAACTTTGGAAGTATGCTTGGGGTCATTGTCCATTTGGAAGGCCTATTTGCGACCAAGCTTTAACTTCCTGACTGATGTCTTGATGTTGCTTCAATATATCCACATAATTTTCCTTCCTCATGATGCCATCTATTTTGTGAAGTGCACCATACCCGCCTGCAGCAAATCACCCCCACAGCATGATGTTGCCACCCCCGTGCTTCACGTTTGGGATGGTGTTCTTCGGCTTGCAAGCCACCCCCTTTTTCCTCCAAACATAACGATGGTCATTATGGCCAAACAGTTCTATTTTTGTTTCATCAGACCAGAGGACATTTCTCCCAAAATTACGATCTTTGTCCCCATGTGCAGTTGCAAACCGTAGTCTGGCTTTTTTATGGGGGTTTTGGAGCAGTGGCTTCTTCCTTGCTGAGCGGCCTTTCAGGTTATGTCGATATTGGACTCGTTTTTACTGTGGATATAGATACTTTTGTACCTGTTTCCTCCAGCATCTTCACAAGGTCCTTTGCTGTTGTTCTGGGATTGATTTGCACTTTTTGCACCAAAGTACGTTCATCTCTAGGAGACAGAATGTGTCTCCTTCCTGAGCGGTATGACGGCTATGTGGTCCCATGGTGTTTATACTTGCGTACTATTGTTTGTACAGATGAACGTGGTACCTTCAGGCGTTTGGAAATTGCTCCCAAGGATGAACCAGACTTGTGGAGGTCTACAATGTTTTTTCTGAGGTCTTGGCTGATTTCTTTTGATTTTCCCATGATGTCAAGCAAAGTGGCATTGAGTTTGAAGGGAGGCCTTGAAATACATCCACAGGTACACCTCCAATTGACTCAAATGATGTCAATTAGCCTATCAGAAGCTTCTAAAGCCATCATTTTCTGGAATTTTCCAAGCTGTTTAAAGGCACAGTCAATTTAGTGTATGTAAACTTCTGACCCACTGGAATTGTGATACAGTGAATTAGAAGTGAAGTAATCTGTCTGTAAACAATTGTTGGAAAAATTACTTGTGTCATGCACAAAGTAGATGTCCTAACCGACTTGCCAAAACTATAGTTTGTTAACAAGACATTTGTGGAGTGGTTGAAAAACGAGTTTAATGACTCCAACCTAAGTGTAAACTTCCGACTTCAACTGTATATGCTGTATTCTATTCTACTGTATTTTAGTCTATGCCACTCCGACATTGCGCGTCCTAATATTTATATATTTCTTAATTCCATTCTTCTACTTTAGATTTGTGTGTATTGTGTGTATTGTTGTGAATTGTTAGATACTACTGCACTGTTGGAGCTAGAAACACAAGCATTTCGCTACACCCACAATAACATCTGCTAAATATGTGTATTTGACCAATAAAATTTGATTTGATTTGACATTGCCAATGTAAATTGTGCTGTAGCGCAGCTCTTCAGCTCTACAGATTGAATCGAGCCCTTTCTCTTTTCTTCTTCCTAGTTTTCTCTTTTTCTGCGAACAGACATACGTAAATCCTTGCATTATATCAAAATAAAATAATCTGTGTTTTGTCCATCAAGGTCATTTTTATGGACACACACACACACACACACACACACACACACACACACACACACACGTGACCCCTTTTGATGCCTGTGACTTTGTGTATTAGTGCCTTCATTCCGTGATTGAAATGGAGCTTTGGTTTCTAGCAGGCCGTATATCAGGCTGTCAGTCAGCATTTTAGTGCTTTGTTTCCCATTTCAATCAAACACCCGGCCGCGCACTGTAAAGGCCCAGAGCACTATGCTACACCCGGCTCCCCTCCTTTCTTGTACTGACAGATGGGGGGGGCATGGCAGAAACTATTTCTCAAACATATTAAGAGGTGTCACTCGTCCCCCCCACTCTGAAGGCTCTTTTTCAATTTTCCGCCTTTCAAATAATCTCTGCTGCACAATGGTGACCGAGGTATGCTATGTCCCAAATGCCACCCTATTCCCTATATAGTGCACTACTTTTGACCAGAGCCCATAGGGAATAGGGCACCGTTTGGGACGCACCCTGAGAGATTGGAGGCCGACAACAACGTGTGTTTATGTGAGATTCCATCCACTTCCTGTTCCCTCTCTCTCTGTTCTGTCAAACTTGTACCTCTCATCATGTGAATAGAAGGATATAGCCTGTTAAGGGCAGGCATCCTTATAGGTGACAATACCGTAGCCCTTTAGACAGAGGCCCTATATATGCAAGGGGCATTTATTTAGTTTTAAGCTTAATTACCGCATTAGTGTTACCTGGCATGAACCCTCAGTGTGAAGGAAAAACACAATCTAGCAGGAGCGATATAAAGGAGTGTACACACTTCGAACAAAGAGCAGCTTCACACCTGGGTGCCATAGGCCGTTAGTTAGGCCGGCCGGAGCCTCGGGATGAGGGCTCAGTGGGTGCGTCCCAAATGGTACCCTATTCCCTACATAGTGCACTACTTTTGACCAGGGCCCATAGGGCACTATAAAGGGAATCGGTTGCCATTGGGACGTAGCCAGTGGCTCACTCGTTCCGTCCTTCCCTCTCAGTGTTATCATGTAATTCGGGGAGAGTGTGGAAGCATGCTGGCGTTCCGGGGTCATTGTGAGGGCCATGCCCCCCCCCCCCCCTCTCCTCTATTGTGTGTCCCCGTGGCCATTAAGTTAAATGGGGCTCCTCCAGGAAGCCAGAGGGCCTTTTTATGACCCTGGGCTGATCTCCTCCTCGCCAGCAACTAGTTTACTAATGGAAGGTGCCTCGCCTAAATAAAGCTTAATGGGTCGTTTAATCTTTTTTTGTCACGGAAAAGGGAGAGAGGGTACTGACGAGGGAGAGGAAGGGCCAAGAAAGAAAATTCCTGGGGGATATGCTATACTGCTGGTCAACAGCTTTTATTTTTTATTTTTCCCTCTTTATGTGCGTCCTCTGGTTGCTTGGGCAATGTTAACGATCTCTGCCTTAGAGGGCATCGAGGCAGAGAGCGATGTATACGTTCACACACAGACGTACAGATTGTGTCAACTCTTTTGTCCTATATCTTTGATATATGTATCTTTATAGATCTTTTTTTATGTTTGTTTACTTAGGTCTTTCTATTTTGTCCCCTCCAGGCTTCTGTACAGTTTAGCGTTTAATGCACGTTTCCTGAGACATCTCTGGCACCTGATACAGTCCATGACCACCAAAATGATCACAGGGTGAGTTGATTGAATGTCAGTCAGAGGCTGTATGTATCAAGCATCTCAGAGTAGGAGTGCTGATCTTGGATCAGGTCTCTTCCCCTTGTCCATGTAATATTATTCATAGTGATCTAAAAGGCCAAACTGATCCTAAATCAGAACTCCTGCTTTGAGACACTTCATATACATACAGTGGGGGGAAAAAAGTATTTAGTCAGCCACCAATTGTGCAAGTTCTCCCACTTAAAAAGATGAGAGAGGCCTGTAATTTTCATCATAGGTACACGTCAACTATGACAGACAAATTGAGGAAAAAAAATCCTGAAAATCACATTGTAGGATTTTTAATGAATTTATTTGCAAATTATGGTGGAAAATAAGTATTTGGTCACCTACAAACAAGCAAGATTTCTGGCTCTCACAGACCTGTAACTTCTTCTTTAAGAGGCTCCTCTGTCCTCCACTTGTTACCTGTATTAATGGCACCTGTTTGAACTTGTTATCAGTATAAAAGACACCTGTCCACAACCTCAAACAGTCACACTCCAAACTCCACTATGGCCAAGACCAAAGAGCTGTCAAAGGACACCAGAAACAAAATTGTAGACCTGCACCAGGCTGGGAAGACTGAATCTGCAATAGGTAAGCAGCTTGGTTTGAATAAATCAACTGTGGGAGCAATTATTAGGAAATGGAAGACATACAAGACCACTGATAATCTCCCTCGATCTGGGGCTCCACGCAAGATCTCACCCCGTGGGGTCAAAATGATCACAAGAACGGTGAGCAAAAATCCCAGAACCACACGGGGGGACCTAGTGAATGACCTGCAGAGAGCTGGGACCAAAGTAACAAAGGCTACCATCAGTAACACACTACGCCACCAGGGACTCAAATTCTTCAGTGCCAGACGTGTCCCCCTGCTTAAGCCAGTACATGTCCAGGCCCGTCTGAAGTTTGCTAGAGTGCATTTGGATGATCCAGAAGAGGATTGGGAGAATGTCATATGGTCAGATGAAACCAAAATAGTACTTTTTGGTAAAAACTCAACTCGTCGTGTTTGGAGGACAAAGAATGCTGAGTTGCATCCAAAGAACACCATACCTACTGTGAAGCATGGGGGTGGAAACATCATGCTTTGGGGCTGTTTTTCTGCAAAGGGACCAGGACGACTGATCCGTGTAAAGGAAAGAATGAATGGGGCCATGTATCGTGAGATTTTGAGTGAAAACCTCCTTCCATCAGCAAGGGCATTGAAGATGAAACATGGCTGGGTCTTTCAGCATGACAATGATCCCAAACACACCGCCCTGGCAACGAAGGAGTGGCTTCGTAAGAAGCATTTCAAGGTCCTGGAGTGGCCTAGCCAGTCTCCAGATCTCAACCCCATAGACATTTTTTGGAGGGAGTTGAAAGTCCGTGTTGCCCAGCGACAGCCCCAAAACATAACTGCTCTAGAGGAGATCTGCATAGAGGAATGGGCCAAAATACCAGCAACAGTGTGTGAAAACCTTGTGAAGACTTACAGAAAACGTTTGACCTGTGTCATTGCCAACAAAGGGTATATAATAAAGTATTGAGAAACTTTTGTTATTGACCAAATACTTATTTTCCACCATAATTTGCAAATAAATTCATTCAAAATCCTACAATGTGATTTTCTGGAAAATGTTTTCTCATTTTGTCTGTCATAGTTGACGTGTACCTATGATGAAAATTACAGGCCTCTCTCATCTTTTTAAGTGGGAGAACTTGCACAATTGGTGGTTGACTAAATACTGTTTTTCCCCACTGTATGTGGCCCTGAACATAGGGATGGTCCTTGATGGGCTCGCGGGCTCGCGGCGTATGTATGATGGGCTCGCGGCGTATGTATGATGGGCTCGCGGCGTATGTATGTCAATTCAATGTGCTTTATTGGCATAAATGAACAGGTAAATATAGCGAGTCTCTCTCTTCTTCTCTCCTCCCAGGTCCATGGTTCCGCTGTTGCAGGTCATCTCGCGGGGGTCTCCCATGTCCCTGGAAGACTCCAATCGCATCATTCCCCTCTTCTATCTCTTCAGTTCCCTCTTCAGTCACTCGCTCATCTCCGTGCACGACAGCGAGTTCTTTGGCTACCCCATGGAAGGCCATGGTAGGCCACTCCCTCAGTGTCTCCCCTAGGATTTTCTTCAGCAGCGGTGGCAAAGTTAGAGTGGATGGGGATGATTGTGTAGCCAACGGCGCCATCTCCGACCAAACATTTTAGAGGCTCTCCTCTTGGCCACAGAGACAAAAATGTTCTGTTTTAAAGACAGTTTCCTGCTATTCTACAAATGTAGTCATGGGGCTGAGATAAACAAATTCAGCAATTATACACATTTTGCCATGGCTTATGCCGTGTTCTTATGCTATCTGAGTGACTCAAATATTATAACATGCTATGAATTATTTAAAATGTATGATTCTCCTGACTGTTTAGTTTTTATTCTGGTGATTGTTAGGCTAGTTCTCAAAGATTATCTTGTTAAAAAATATATAGCTCCATTATCTTTGCTACATACTTTATATATGGTTTAGTCGTTTAGGGTTTACACTGAAAACGTTTTAAAATCCCCCCAAATTATCATATTTTTGGAAGTGGCGGCAACGATTTACCTGCGGCGGCGCGCCGCTGCTAAATGAATATAGGGGAAACACTGCTTCCTCCAAACTCTAGTCTCCAAGGTGGCATCCCAAATGGCACCCTATTCCCTATGCACTACTGGTTTACTCAATAACTCTTCACTAACACTTCATTTGAACAATCCACCATTATGAATGCATACAGTGGTCATGAACACAACTTCGAGCTCTTAACATTACGTGTAATTATAGTTTATAACAACTTTATGACATCTATGGTGGAGATGCATGCAATGTTTTCATGAAATGTACATGGTGTTAAGATGGATACATTATGATCACCTTATTGTCCGTGTACATGGAAATTCATTTTGTGAATTTGCACTACATGTAGGGTGCCATTTAGGACACAACCCTAGTCTCAAAATCACCTGCCTCTTGTTTTGAATCGGTGTGAAGCTGACATTTTGTTTGACTTTGAATTTAAAGGCTTCTACACATCTATATGTATCCAGATGGACAGTCTCACAAATTGTTCCACTACTCCACATTGCTGCTGCACATCATCCTCCCCCTTGCTTGTTATTCAGTGGGTAAGATATGTAGGGCGATATTTTCCCCTCGCAAAGACAGCTGTGCTGTGATTCTGTGAACAGGCAACATTCTAAATAATGGGAGCTCCGATACTGTACCTCATGATTGCATTGCATGTGGTATGTGTATCACGTTGTTGACTAAATCCCTGGTTAAACTAGAGTTCTTCCTCACAGAAATTGTCAAAGAAAAGTTTAAGTCGCGCAGCAAAATTATAATTTCACTTACAGTGCATTCGCTTACAGTGCAGGTGTCTTTGCGCTAGGAAAATGTTGCCTATACTGTGTTCAATGGCTGAGTAACAGTGAACAACTGTCCATTCCTTCTATCCACCCCTTTTCAGGCCACAGCAATACCTCCATGATGCCTTTCATGTTGTCCGAGCTGGTGAACCTGTCTCGGTTGCTGAGGGACGCGTGTCTGGGCATCATCAAGCTGGCCTACCCCGAGACCAAGACCGAGCACCGCGAGGAGTACATGGCCGCTTTCCGCAGCGTGGGGGTCAAGACCAACATAGAGGTGCAGCAGCGCATCCAGGCCGAGCAGAAACGCTGGGTTCAGCTCTTCAAGGTGATTACCCCCCAGCACCTGCGTGATCGGATTCAAAGCAGATAAAAACTGTGAGTGTGGCTGAGTGGGTAACACCGCCACAACTCCGCCAAAGACCCGGAGTTCTGCCTCTCCTCCCTTCTCAGTCTCCCCTTTATATCCAACTGTTTAAATAAATACCAAATAAGGGAAATGGGAATCCATTCTAAGAAAACAACATTTTTTACTTCATCATTTGGATGCTTCCTGAGTCCCAACTGGCTTGTGTCCTCACTCTCAGAGGCACCTGTAGCAGATTTAGAAAATGGTTGCATGCTGTATTCAGTGTCATCTTGAACACCCTCTTTAAAGGGTCTTCTTTGACTTCTGTTGCTCTGATAGCGAACATAATTGTAAATAACAAAAATGTGTTGATCAGCAACAGTTGAAACTCAAATTGTGTTAATTAGGAGAAACCGAGTATGTATGGCAAGACATGGCTGAATGAGGACATTCATTGGCTGTTTACTGAAAGGAAATGAGGCAGATGACAACATTAGGTTAATTATTTCTCTCCCACTCTCGTCCTTACCCCCCTCTATCCTCCTCCTCTCCCACTCGCTTTCTCTTTCCCTGAAACAGTAATTAAGCGACTTTGGCTGCAAGTCTTTGAGAGAGGGACTCGAAAGTGAGCAACGCTTTCTTTCAGCAGAGGTGGTGGCGGTGTACGAATGCGGCAAGAATTTCATAACAGTTCAAGGCGCGCAAACACCTCCCGTCAGCTAAAATGACCCATTAAAGAAGTGGGAGAGCAGTGGAAATGCATTTTCCAAATTGAACGGGGGCTGGATTTACAGTCGCTTTAACGCCGCTGACCCCGTAACACGCTAATGTTTGGTTCGAGTCATCAGCCGTCCCTCGCCCATCTTTTATCACCCCCATTGTCGAGCTATCTATTTAATTGAAAGAAGTTAATTGAATGAAAATGATCAACTAAGCTTATATTAATATTGCTAATGGAACTTCTCTTCTTGGCCATGTTTGGAGAGGGATGTCACTGCAGAGTTTGGGAAAGCCCATTAAGGCGTGCACTTAACCCAATGTACTAATTAAGGAATGCTTATTCATTCCTCCGAGTCGGGGGTTAGTCTCTCTCCGAACCCATCGCAGGTGCCGTGAACAGCGTTTTGCACTCCCCGTTATTACCGAGAATACTCCAGTCGTCGCTGATGACGGCCCGAGATTGATTGCGTCCTGTATGAAAACGATGTGCGTTAAAAATAACATTTCCATTCAAACAATGTTGCCTGGTCATTGTATTGAAAATTGTTTCAGGGTAATTATATGTCTGAATATTCCTAGCTAGTGCTGGTAATGACTGGAGTGAGATTATGGAAATGATCAATATAGATGTGACAAGTTCAGTCACTACACTTGGGTCTTCTAATCAGCTGAAGTTGTGAACTACACAAATATTGCCTATACAGCTGACAGAATTGATGATCAACTTCTATCTAACATTCTTCTCCAAACACTGCAAAGAGTAAGACATGGGATAGGATGCAAAAATGCATGTTTTTCACTGGACTGGACAGTACATGAAAAAAAGTATTAGGACAGTACAAGACAGACATTTTTAGTTATTGACAGGAATAATACTTCATAGTACAGGATTGAATATTCACTCTTGTTTCACCCTCTACTGCACAGTAAGACAATGGATATCACAACAATTCTCACCCTGACCCTATCTCACAGAACAACAGCGTTACACTGGTCATTTCCACAGTTTATCTTTTGCTCTCCGTCCCGTGGCTGATGTCAGCAGACTGGCCAGACTGGCCTATAATTAACCCTGGTGCTGGATGTGGAGGCACAACTCCAGCCATTTCTCTTTTATACTATCGTTAAATACCACACTAATGGCTCAGCTAGCAAATTGCTTTTTTAAGAGGAAGCATCTTATTGTCGAGCCGCCACGTAAATAGATTTGTTTAGCAAATAAAATGATATATACTTTAAAATGACATGTTTAAAATGACATCCATATATCCCATATCTTTAACTTTTGTACTTTTAAGTCATTTAGCAGACGCTCTTATCCGGAGCGACTTACAGTAATGAGTGCATACATTTTTCGTAATGGTCCACCATGGGAATTGAACCCACAAGCCTGGCGTTGTAAGTACCGTGCTCAAGCCACACAGGACCTGAAAATGACATTTGATGTTTAGTTTCATGTATTTTGTTTAACTTTCACTTATGTATTACAGCCAAGCCCTTTAAGCCATTTTTTATTGGCTTTTATATACTGTAGGGAGACTAAGAAGAGAGAGAGTGGTTTGTTCTCTGAGAGTCCAGTGTGTGACTTTTATTTTGATTGTTTATTGTTCTGTATTTCACAGGTGATCACTAACTTGGTGAAGATGGTGAAGGCTCGTGACATCAGACGTCCCTTCTGTCCGGCAGGTCATTGGCTCTCTGAAGAGGTCAACATCAGAGCAGATAAGGTAACCATGGGTAACCGTGCTCTCGGCCATTAGATCAGACTTGTTTCCCTTAATGAGCTTATCAGGCCAATCATTAATCTGGTTTACTCAATAACTCTTCAATAACACTTCATTTGAACAATCCACCATTATGAATGCATACAGTGGTCATGAACACAACTTTGAGCTCATAACATTACGTGTAATTATAGTTTATAACAACTTTATGACATCTATGGTGGAGATGCATGCAATGTTTTCTTGAAATGTACATGGTGTTAAGATGGATACATTATGATCACCTTATTGTCCGTGTACATGGAAATTCATTTTGTGAGGTCAGCATACAAAATACACTAAAACAATACACTATAATACATGCAATACATAAATACTGGAAAGTGAGCATACATATAGTCCCTGTGGCATATTGTTAGGCCATGTATTGGACCCACGTTATGTCCTATGTAGGATGTTGTTAGTATAGTCATGCTGACTGGAGCCCTGCTCTTCCCTCTCCAGGTGACCCAGCTGTACGTCCCCTCAGCCAGACATGTGTGGAGGACGCGGAGGATGGGACGCATCGGGCCCCTGCAGTCCACACTGGATGGTACGATACAATATAGATCCCACAAAAAGTAGTTCCAGTTAGGTTTGTCACGATACCAGTATCGCGATACCACGACTTTCCATGGCAAAAAAGGAAACAGGAAGCAGACTTAACTCTATGATACTTGGAATTATTGTGACAACCCTAGTTCCTGCTATGCATGAACCAACCACTGATGGTTGTCACAGATTTTAGAAGTGCAATGGAACACCCTAATTGCCGCACCCTAATTGGGGTACAGGGAACACTGTGTCATCTCTGGTAAATTAAGCTCTTAGGTCAGCTCAGCTGTAATCTCAGGTATGTTATTTTCCTTCGAGTCACTCCCGATGCCTTAGCGAAGAGCCAGGGAGGACAATGGGCCGAGAGAGAGACAACCAGGCTCTTATGCCGTTTAATGTAGAGCTGCAACCCGGGCCTCCGGCAGCGGGCAGAGAGAGAGAGAGCAGGTGTGAAAACAAACAGATAACAATGCGTGTATGATCTGCCTAATGCCACTCCAGCCAACCCCGATACAGGATCAATTAAATTAGCCTGAGAGTCCTGATGAGCTCAGCCACATCTGGCTGTATGTTTGTCTGCCCTTTTTTCATTTCCTTAAATGGACAGGTCCTCGGGTGATGAATGGCCAACGTATTGACCACCCCCGGGCCATATTTCACAGATGGAAACCTGATGGCCGAAATGCAGATAGGATTGACTAATTGAGCAGAATAATTGCGCTGAAACGGGGACAATGAAGAGGAAGGGGAGGAGATTTGCGGTTTAACTCTGCTGTTGTGGCAGTTTTGGGTTCTAAACGGTTACCAACGCTGAGTTTAATACAAAACAAACGTCTGCTTAATGGAAACGGCCAGTCAGGTGGACGGGCAGCTCACAGTTGAGTTAATTAAAAGTGTGTGTTAGTGAGGGAGGGTTTGAGGCAGGATTGATCACTCTGTAATGGGCTGCCTGTAAACAGTCAGCTGGGTGGAGAGAGGGCCTAGCGGGTTAGTGGTCAGGGAGGGAGCAAGGTAGCAGGCAGGCAGGATGGGGGGGCTAACTGTGGAGAAATGGGTGCTGGGTGTTATCGGGGTTTAACCCCCTCCATAAAGAAGTGTCTGGGTTTTCTGTTCAGTGTCTGTCATTAGGGAGACTGCAGGGCAGGAGTGTGGGTTTAGGTTCTGGTAAAGGAACCTCTGGGCTCCGTGCAGCCTGGTTGAACATTTACCACACAGTGCTGTCTCAGCATCTATCCACACTGTGTCATCATGGAAACCATTCATGGCGCTGCATTGGGCATTTATAAATGGATGGATGGATGAATTAGAGCCGGATGGATAGATACGTAGATGGAGGATCAGATTGACGAATGGTAGGATAGTGTGGATAGATGGGTTAAATGATGAAGTGAAGATGGAGGGATGGATAAATGAATAGATGAATGGGTAGAAGACAGATAGATTGACTGTTGTAGAGCAGTTTAAGCTAACATTGTTGTTGTACTGTATTTCTGTTGAAGATGTTCCCTCACAGGAAAAAAACATTTTCTATTCTAGTGGGGATGGAGCCTCCACAGCTGTCTGTGTCTGAGGAGAGACACTTGGCCATTCTGACTGAGCTGCCCTTCGTCGTGCCCTTTGAGGAACGAGTCAAGGTACTCTACATCTCATCTCTGCATATTGCTCCATACAGATGCGGTCAAATATATTGGCACCCTTGCATGATTCACACCTTCGTCTAAAATAAGTTGAAATTGAAAAAGCTTTTTGTGTTTGCACATGTATTTGTTTGATTTACAACTGCACAGGACCCCCCAAAAAACAAAAACAAAACTGAAATTGATGTAAAAAATGGCCTGGACTAATTTATTCAAAATTCAAATTAATTTGGTTGGAGGCAAAGATTGTAATTTACTGTGTAATTTCTCAACTGTGGTAAGTTGCAGGTGCCTACAGGGTAAAAATAGCCATTCAACCAGTACAAATAAATAAAACGAACATTCTGCTCCATTGCACTCCATTGTAAAGTGCAAGGGTGCCAATATATTTGAACGCATATGTATACTTGTTAGAAAACCAAAACCCTTGGGTAATATGTATGACTGACAATTTATTTTCACCTCAGTTAAATTTGTTTAAAATAATATCGCCTTTATTGACTACATCCATTAGAAATAGTCCATTTAGTCAACAGAGGTCCAATAAAGCTGGGCTGGCTATAGGTAGTCTGTCATTAAAACTGCTTGCCATAATATCTCTGTATGTCCCTGTGGTGAAGATCTTCCAGAGATTGATCTACGCGGACAAGCGGGACATCCAGGGAGACGGGCCGCTTCTGGATGGGATCATCGTCACCATCAGACGGAACTACATCTACGAGGACGCCTACGACAAGCTCTCCCCAGAAAATGGTACGTGGTTAGGCTGAGGAGGGATATGGCTTGGTGAGGAGGCATATGTCTCGGCCTGCGTCCTAATAATCTCTCCTTTCTCCCAAAGTGTGCACTTGTTCACTTCCCTTCATGGGTTTGGATGGAAATTACTGGTATAATAAATATGGTAGATAGTCCCACTAATCCATACCTCCACCAATCCAATGCTTTTAGATTAGTGGGAAGGAGTGAACAGGTGCACATTAGAAAGGAGATATTATGTAGACGCAGCCCAAGACTGTATTTGTCTTCTGTTTGTGGTCCATAAAATCCAGATATTCTAGCCGAGGTTACAGATCCCATTAGAAATGAAGGTTAGCTTTCCCATCGGTCTCTGAAGTATTGGATTTCACTAAAGCATAATTGTGATCGTGGTTATTCTAATGGCTCGCATAAAAGCGAGAAATCAATTATTTTAAGTCACCTCTTTTTGTGTTTGAATTTAAAAGAGCACTTTTGTTGGGGCATATGATTAAAAACTGTAGTAGTAGGAGGCCCTGCCTTCGAGGGGCTGAAAACGTGATCTATATCATTTATGTGTCTTTATAAGTTATAGCTGCTCTGATTTATCACTGTACATTAATTATGTAGAAACGTGACCTCTTTTATACGCTTTGATTTGATTATTCCTCAGGTCAGAGAAATCATGCCTCTTGAGATGTGGAAATGGGGAGAAATATAAACATTAAAATAGATACACTCTATATACAAAAGTATGTGGACACCCCTTCAAATTAGTGGATTTGGCTATTTCAGCCACACACGTTGCTGACAGGTGTATAAAATCGAGCACACAGCCATGCAATCTCCATAGACAAACATTGGCAGTAGAATAGTCTTACTGAAGAGCTCATTGACTTTCAACGTGGAATCCTATGCCACTTTTCCAACAAGTCATTTAGTCACATTTCTGCCCTGCTAGAGCTGACCCGGTCTACTGTAAGTGATGTTATTGTGAAGTCGAAATGTCTAGGAGCAACAGTGGCTCAGGCGCGAAGTGGTAGGCCACACAAGCTCACAGAACGGGACTGCCGAGTGCTGAAGCACGTAGCGCGTAAAAATCGTCTGTCCTCGGTTGCAACACTCACTACCGAGTTCCAAACTGCCTCTGGAAGCAACGTCAGCACAAGAACTGTTCGTCGGGAACTTCATGAAATGGGTTTCCATGGCCGAGCAGCCGCTCACAAGCCTAAGATCACCATGTGCAATGCCAAGCATAAGCTTGAGTGGTGTAAAGCTCGCCGCCATTGGACTCTGGAGCAGTGGAAACGCGTTCAAGTGATGAATCACGCTTCAACATCTGGCAGTCCAACGGATGAATCTGGGTTTGGCAGATGCCAGGAGAACGCTACCTACCCGAATGCATAGTGCCAACTGTAAAGTGTGGTGGAGGAGGAATAATGGTCTGGGGCTGTTTTTCATGGTTTGGGCTAGGTTTTTTCGTTTCATTGAAGGGAAGCCTTAACGCTACAGCATGCAATGACATTCTAGACAATTCTGTGCTTCCAACTTTGTGGCAACAGTTTGGGGAAGGCCCTTTCCTGTGTCAGCATGACAATTCCCCCGTGCACAAAGCGACGTCCATACAGAAATAGTTTGTCGAGATAGGTGTGAAAGAACTTGACTGACTTGCACAGAGCCCTGACCTCAACCCCATCGAACACTTTTGGGATGAATTGGAACGCCGACTATGAGCCAGGCCTAATCGTCCAACGTCAGTGCCCGACCTTACTAAAGCTCTTGTTGCTGAAAAGAAGCAAGTCACTGCAGCAATGTTCCAACATCTAGTGGAAAGCCTTCCCAGAAGAGTGGAGGCTGTTATACCAGCAAAGGAGGGACCAACTCCATGTTAATGCCCATGATTTTGGAATGAGATGTTCGACGAGTGGGTGTCCACATACTTTTGGTTATGTAGTATATTTCCCCTATCATCCCTACACATACTGTAGATTTTCTTTTGCTTGTAAGTTACATTTTAATAATTACATGCGTGCATGTACACTGAGTGTACAAAACATTAAGAACACCTTCCTAATATTGAGTTGCACCCCTTTTGCCCTCAGACTCTACAAGGTGTCAAGCGTTCCACAGGGATGCTGGTCCATGTTGACTCCAATGCTTCCCACAGTTGTGTCAAGTTGGCTGGATGTCCTTTGGGTTGTGGACCATTCTTGATACACACAGGAATCTGTTGAGCGTGAAAAACCCAGCAGCGTTGCAGTTCTTGACACACTGAAACCGGTGCACCTGGCACCTACTGCAATACCCCGTTCAAAGACACTTAAAACGTTTGTATTGCCCATTCACCCTATGAATGGAAAACATACATAATCCATTGTCTCAAGGCTTAAAAATCCTTTAAACTGTCTCCTCCCCTTCATCTACACTGAGTGTATAGGGTTTAATAGGTGACATCAAAAAGGGATCATAACTTTCACCTGGTCAGTCTATGTCTTGTTTTGTACACTCCATGTATATTTTCTATACTAACTTGATTTCACTTCGTGTCCCATGTATCCAGAGCCGGACCTGAAGAAGCGTGTCCGGGTGCACCTACTCAACGCCCACGGTCTGGACGAGGCGGGCATTGACGGCGGGGGCATCTTCCGCGAGTTCCTCAACGAGCTGCTCAAGTCGGGCTTCAACCCCAACCAGGGTTTCTTCAAGACCACCAACGACGGGCTGCTCTACCCCAGCCCCACCGCCCAGATGCTGGTGGGGGACTCCTTCGCCAGACACTACTACTTCCTGGGACGGATACTGGGGAAGGTAAAGTTATAAATATAAACATTTTATTGTGCATTTTATATAATAGAGGAGAGACAGTGGAAAGATAGATAGATAGTGTGTCACAATAGACAGATAGATAGTGTGGGTGGATTCGAACCCACACTGACACAGGAAAACATGTGCTGTAGGCTGCGCCATTGACCACTAGACCACCCAGGCCCACGGGAGAGGTAAAGCTGTCTTAGCTAACAGACAGACCGCTCTGATTCCAGGTCTCCGTAAAAGTCAATAGAAATCAATGTGTGTGATCAGTGTTCTTGTGTAGTCAATACAGCGGAGACATTTACATTTACATTTACATTTTAGTCATTTAGCAGACGCTCTTATCCAGAGTCAAGGCTGTCATCATAGACAATGGAAGAATGGGATGTTATGCTAAAACGCTTGCAAGAGGACCTGACCAATTTAAAGCTGCAATATGTAACTTTTTGGGCGACCTGACCAAATTCACAAAAACATTTGTGTTATAGATCTGTCATTCTCATTGAAAGCAAGTTTAAGAAGCGGTAGATCTGTTCTATGTGCGCTATTTCTAAGCTTCCCGTTAATCAGTTCCGTTTTTTGCATCTTACTTTCGGTTTTGTACACCAGCTTCAAACAGCTAAAAATAAAATATTTTTGGTGATGGAAAAGATATTCCGCAGCTGTTTAGATGGTACAATGATTCTCTACACTACACTTGCTTGTTTTGTCACATAAACTGAAATTAAGTGAACTATTTGAATTTTATCAACAGGAAATGGCGGAGTGATTCCTGCATATTGCACCTTTTTAATAATTAAGGAAGAAGCACCAAAGGGTCTAGTTATTAAGCAATATAAGGTGTTTGTGTGCATATCTGTATGTTAGCTCCAAATGATCACCAGGTGTCTTCAAGCATTAACTGAAACAATAAGCACATCTAATGTGGTAATTAGATGGAAGACCAACCAATGTGTGATGAACGTCTAATCAGTTAATGAGATGTGAAATGTAGTCAGCATCACCGTGCTCCGCTACCTCTGGGAGGGGGTTCTGCCATGCCCCCTGGTGGTCCCTCTGAGGGTCACACTGTGCTCCAGACACCAGCAGGTCATCTGGGATTGTTCAGAGGTCACTTCCAGTGAGTCAGCCCAGCCTATGTCATTGAATAATAGAGGTACAGTACAGAGCTAAGGCTGATTTATTATAACATCTAATGGCTGTTAGTGTTTTAACTTGACTGCATATCAAAAACAATTGTTTGTCGTTGATGTCCAAGAAAGTGACAATTTTGAATGACATAGAACTTGGACCCGATACTTGTACAATGCATAGTTTGGTTCATTAGCCCTATGCGTAATCTGTTGATTGCATTGTTTTCCCTGCCCCCTCCTCCCCCTTTGACCGCACTATTTATTATAGCCGAATGTTTTTAAATCTTCTTTAATGCATGTGCCGGCAGATTGTTTGTCGATATGCTGTGGGAGTGTGTGTGTCTGGGAAGGGTCATCTCATTCTCAACGGTAGAAGAATGACCTCATCACAACCGGTCGCCTCTCAATTAGGCCTTCCATTAGCCGATGATTCCTGCCTCGTTGTTTGTGTGGCGATTGCATTTGGCCGGGCACTAAATCAGCGCTAGCCCCCGCCGACAGGGACATAAATAAGCAGTCAAAGCATGTGGTAATAGCATTTTGATCTGTTTTACAGTCCGGAGCATCTAAAGTCCTCTCTCTCTCTCTCTCTCTCTCTCTCTCTCTCTCGCTGTCGCTCTCGCTCTCGCTCTCGCTCTCGCTCTCTCTCTCTCTCTCTCTCTTTGCAAGATGGTCCAGTCCACTCATCAGAGCACCATAACTCCTCCTGGGCTTTGTCCCAAATGGCACCTTATTCCCTATATAGTGCACTACTTTTGACCAGAGCCCTATACGGGCCCTTGTTAAAAGTAGTACACTACATCGGGAATAGGGTGCCATTCGGGACGTGGCCCTGGTGTCCACATATTCATCCCACTGTGAGAAATGGCTAGTCAGCTGCTAGCACGCGCTCTGCTCCCCTCCCCTATCACTACAGCTAATGGCTTAGGCAATTAAGGCGGGGAAATTTATTTGAATTTGACTTTCAATTAACCCTACCTTAAGTTCCCTCTTTCTCCATAAATACGACGTGTGAGTGCTCGTTTGAGTGGTGTATTGATATTTGTTTAGTGCCGTTATTACCTGCGACCCGAGAGGAAAGAGGGAACCGTTATAGATTAGGATTGCATCACTGCTGCGTGGAGAGATACGCGGGACACACACTAAGGCCTATGCGACACAGGAGATTAATATAGTTCAATAATGACCTCCCGGCCTGCCATTGTTGTGGAGGTAATGTATTATCATCAGGAGTGGGCCAGTCTGGGGTACTCACTGAAATGGGATTGGACATAACAATATGGGACACCGGTCATCCCTCTTCCTCACTTGTCCTCCCAACTGACACGTATAAGGATTTGACGCCACAGACAGAAACCACTTAACAACACGTGTGTATGATTTACATTTTCTACAGACCACATGAGTATACAATTCCACTGAGCATAAAGGCATATTGAATTATCATAGTCTTCAGTATTATTATCTGTGCTCTCTAGCATCTAGAGTCCAAGGTAAGTTTTCTGGTGTCTCTCACCGTTCTTACTAGTTTCAACAAGCCATTGGAAGTGATAGGGGCAGTTCTTGACTTGGGCAGGAGCTCACCGGAGCTGAGTACTGGCACCTCAAATGCTCTACTGCTTGAGCTCCAGTTCCTCTTATAGAATATTAGGATGGATCTCCTGCACCTAAATATAAACAGTACCGGCACCTATTTCAGTCCAAGTCAAGCACTGGATAGGGGCAAATGTGTAATGTAAAAAAAGAAATACAGTCAAAATTACCTCAAGTTAACTTCAAACCAAATAATTGTGTTGATTGATCATGAAAAAAATCAAATAAAAATGCACGGTTGCTAAAGTTAGGCTAGCTGTAGTTTGCAGTGGCTGTTTAAAGAAAACTGAAAGGATTATAGTTTATCCTGACCCATAGACTACTTTCAGGGCGAGGAACCATCTAACATCAAGTTGTAAAATACAGAACTTCCCCTTTAAGCTGCTGTGCCCGTAGGGTGCTGTTTTCGGCACCTCTCTTCTTCCAGACAGTTTTGTTGCGGTAGTAAAGAGAGAGGTCTCCTGATGCCAGTCTCAATGCCCCACATCACTGTCACCGTCCAGCCAAGATCCAGTAACCTTCAGTAGGACATGTGGAGCAAACCGCCCCCCTCCTCTCTATGCCTCACACCACCCATCCATCTGGGACACCCACTGCCTGCCTCTTCATGATAGTACAAAGCCCGGTATTAGCCCTGACCTAGCCTCCAAACTCTCTCAGGGTGGCTGAAGTTTTGTGTGTTTGTTTGCACCATCCTCCCTCCCTCCTCCCCAGTGCCTTTCCTCATTGATCTCCCCGGTCAGACTAAAAGTTCCCATTTAGAGGTGCGTTGGGTCGCACCCCTGATTGATAGTGATGCGTTTGAAAGGCATAATATTTTTATTGATTCTTAATGTTGTAAATTAAGGAATTTATTTGGCAGCTAACAGAAGGCAACCTGTGATGTTGTTGGGTGTTTATTCTCCCTGATGGCGCCCCGATCTGCTTTAATTGCGTTGCCACTGCACTCACTTATATTAAAAGGGGCCCGGCCATAATTAATCCGTTTTATCCCAAGTCATTTTGGCACAATGTCTGGCAATAAACAACCATAAATAAAGCGGCCGTTGAAAAAAAAGAAGAATATGCCACAGGTTTTTTTCTCTCCCCCCATATACTTAGTACCACCTCTTTCCGGCACTGTGTTATTGATAGGTTTCAAGTGGGTATGCAGCGCATATGGTCGAGGAATTTGGAAAAAGCCACCCCGAGAAAAGCTAAGTGGGTTATTTTGTATAAAAAATAGACTGTGTTTGAAGTTACACAATTAACCTGTGTTTAGAAAATAGACTGTGATTTATGCCCGCCTGTGTGTTTAAGATGCATGCATTATGGAAATGGCCTAGATTTATAATCCATTTAGCTGATGTGGTCAGGGTTTTTAGTGCAATCATTTATAAGGACCTGTATATTTTAATGCCTGGAACGGGCTCTTTTTAGGACTATTCCAGTACATTAGCTCCCGGTTTTATGAGTCACCTGCTCGGCAATGTTCTTAATGGCAGCCCAGGTCAAGGTGAGAATTGGCATTTATAAAGTTTGAGGCAGGCGGATTTTAAGGCCTGTGTGTTTTAGACACAGATTGTGTTCTTGTGTTGTGCTCTTGCTCCGATGTGAACTGATTTACTATCTTATCGCTTCTGTATCTGATGTTCCGGTCACTCTTTTAATATCGGGTTAATGCGTTGCGTAACGTTTTTTAATTGCAAAGAGCAAAGATGGCTCTCATCGATATCTATTGTTGTTATTGATTTATTCTACTGTTCACTGTTCTGTTGGGTTTTTTATGCTAGTCTGATTTGTATGACTTTATCATTACCTCATTTTATCATATTATTATTTATTATTATCATAAAATTTGGAAAGTATTCAGACCCCTTGACTTTTTTCTCATTTTGTTACGTTACAGCCTTATTCTAAAATTGATTAAATTAAACATTTTCCTCAGCAATCTACACACAATAACCCATAATGACAAAGCAAAAAACAGGTTTTTAGAAATGTTTGGAAATGTATAAAAAAAAAAAAACAGATACCTTATTTACATAAGTATTCAGACCCTTTGCTATGAAACTCGAAATTGAGCTCATGTGCATCCTGTTTCCATTGATTATCCTTGATGTTTCTACAACTTGTGGTAAATTCAATTGATTGCACATGATTTGGAAAGGCACACAACTGTCTATATAAGGTCCCACAGTTGACAGTACATGTCCGAACTAAAACCAAGCCATGAGGTTGAAGGAATTGTCCGTAGAGCTCCGAGACAGGATTCTGTTGAGGCACAGATCTGGGGAAGGGTATCAAAAAATGTCTGCAGCATTGAAGATCCCCAAGAACACAGTGGCCTCCATCATTCTTAAATGGAAGAAGTTTGGAACCACCAAGACTCTTCCTAGAGCTGGCCGCCCAGCCCGATGGTCACTCTGACAGAGCTGTAGAGTTCCTCTGTGGAGATGGGAGAACTTTCCAGAAGGACAACAATCTCAGCAGCACTCCACCAATCAGGTCTTTATGGTAGAGTGGCCAGACAGAAGCCACTCCTCAGTAAAAGGCACATGACAAACCGCATGGAGTTTGCCAAAAGGCACATAAAGACTCTCAGACCATGAGAAACAAGATTCTCTGGTCTGATGAAACCAAGATTTAACTCTTTGGCCTGAATGCCAAGCGTCACGTCTGGAGGAACCCTGGCACCATCCCTACGGTGAAGCATGGTGGTGGCATCATCATGCTGTGGTGATGTTTTTCAGCGGCAGGGACTGGAAGACTAGTCCGGTTTTAGGGAAAGATGAATGGAGCAAAGTACAGAGAGATCCTTGATGAAAACCTGCTCCAGAGCGCTCAGGACCTCAGACTGGGGCGAAGGTTCACCTTCCAACAGGACAACGACCCTAAGCGCACAGCCAAGACAACGCAGGAGTGGCTTCGGGACAAGTCTCTGAATGCCCTTGAGTGGCCCAGCCAGAGCCCGGACTTGAACCTGATCGAACATCTCTGGAGAGACCTGAAAATAGCTGTGCAGCAACGCTCCCCATCAAACCTGACAGAGCTTGAGAGGATCTGCAGAGAAGAATTGAAGAAACTCCCCAAATACAGGTGTGCCAAGCTTGTTTCGCCATACCCAAGAAGACTTGATGCTGTAATCGCTGCCAAAGGTGCTTCAACAAAGTACTGAGTAAAGGGTCTGAATACTTATGTAAATGTGATATGTTTATTTTTAATAAATTAGCAAACATTCTAAAAACCTGTTTTTGCTTTGTCATTATGGGGTATTGTGTGTAGATTGATGAGGGGAAAAAGCAATTTAATCAATTTTAGAATAAGGCTGTAACGTAACAAAATCTGGAAAAAGTCAAGGGGTCTGAATACTTTCTGAAAAAGTATGTGGATACCTCTTCAAATTAGTGGATTCAGCTATTTCAGCCACACCCGTTGCTGACAGGTGTATAAAATCGAACACACAGCTATGCAATCTCCATAGACCCACATTGGCAGTAGAATGGCCTTACTGATGAGCTCAGTGACTTTCAACGTGGCACCGTCATAGGATGCCACCTTTCCAACAAGTCGGTTTGTACAATTTCTGCCCTGCTAGAGCTGCCCCGGTCAACTGTAAGTGCTGTTATTTTAAAGTGGAAACGTCTAGGAGCAACAATGGCTCAGCCGCTAAGTGGTAGGCCGCACAAGCTCACAGAACGGGACTGCCGAGTGCTGAAGCGCACAGCGCGTAAAAATCGTCTGTCCTCGTTTGCCACACTCACTACTTAGTTCCAAATTGCCTCTGGAAGCAACGTCAGCACAATAACTGTTCGTCGGGAGCTTCATGAAATGGGTTTCCATGGCCGAGCAGCCGCACACAAGCCTAAGATCCCCATGCGCAATGCCAAGCGTCGGCTGGAGTAGTGTAAAGCTTGCCGCCATTGGACTCTGGAGCAGTGGAAACGCGTTCTCTGGACTGATGAATCACACTTCACCATCTGGCAGTCCGACGGACGAATCTGGGTTTGGCGGATGCCAGGAGGACGCTACCTGCCCGAATGCATAGTGCCAACTGTAAAGTTTGGTGGAGGAGGAATAATGGTCTGGGGCTGTTTTTCATGGTTCGGGCTAGGCCCCTTATTTCCAGTGAAGGGAAATCTTAACGCTACAGCATACAATTACATTCTAGACAATTCTGTGCTTTCAACTTTGTGGCAACAGTTTGGGGAAGGCCCTTCCTGTTTCAGCATGACAATGCCTCCGTGCACAAAGCGAGGTCCATACAGAAATGGTTTGTCGAGATCTGTGTGGAAGAACTTGCCTGGCCTGCACAGAGCCCTGACCTCAACCCCATCGTACACCTTTGGGATGAATTGGAACGCCGACTGCGAGCCAGGCCTAATCGTCCAACATCAGTGCCCGACCTCACTAATGCTCGTGGCTGAATGGAAGCAATTCCCCGCAGCAATGTTCCAGCATCTATTGAAAACCCTCCCAGAAGAGTGGAGGCTGTTATAGCAACAAAGATGGGACCAACTCCTCCATATTAATGCCCATGATTTTGGAATGAGTTGTTTGATGAACAGGTGTCCACATACTTTTGGTCATGTAGCGTATGTGCCATTTAGCAGAAGCTTTTATCCAAAGCGACTTACAATCATGCTCGCATACATTTTCGTATGTGTGACCCCAGCGGGATTCGAACCCATGATCCCAGCGTTGCAAGCGCCAAGCTCTACCAACTGAGCCACACAAGATCATGTTATCATGACCTTTGACCTGAGTGTATCTATGACCTTGACCTATGACCTTTGTTTCCTGTCTCCCTATAGGCCCTGTATGAGAACATGCTGGTGGAGCTGCCGTTTGCCAGCTTTTTCCTGTCCAAGCTGCTGGGCACCAGTGCTGACGTAGACATCCACCACCTGGCCTCGCTGGACCCCGAGATGTACCGCAACCTGCTCTTCCTCAAGAGCTACGAGGACGACGTGGAGGACCTGGGACTCAACTTCACCATCGTCAATAACGACCTGGGAGAGGCACAGGTGGGCTGTGTGTGTGTGTGTCAGTGGGGGGAGGTAGGAATTACTCACAAATCAAATGTTATTTGTCACGTGCCGAATACAATATGTGTAGATCTTACAGTAAAATGCTTACTTAAAAGCCCTTATCCAACAATGCAGTTTGAAGAAAAATAAGTGTTAATTAAATAATAGATAAGTACAAACTAAAACTAAAAAATAATTAAAGAGCAGCAGTAAAATAACAGTAGCGAGGCTATATACAGGGGGTACCGGTACAGAGTCAATGTGCGGGGGCACCGGTTAGTCGAGGTAATTTAGGTAATATGTTAATCTAGGTAGAGTTAAAGTGACTATGCATAGATAATAAACAGAGAGTAGCAGCAGTGTAAAAGAGGGGGTGGGTGGGGGGAACAATGCAAATAGTCCGGGTAGCGATTTGATTAGATGATCAGGAATCTTATGGCTTGTGGGGAGAAGCTGTTAAGAAGCCTTTTGGACCTAGACTTGGCGCTCCGGTACCGCTTGCCGTGCGGTAGCAGAGAGAGCAGTCTATGACTAGGGTGGCTGGAGTCTTTGACAATTTTTAGGGCCTTCCTCTGACACCGCCTGGTATAGAGGTCCTGGATGGCAGGACGCTTGGCCCCAGTGATGTACTGGGTTGTACGCACTACCCTCTGTAGTGCCTTGCGGTCGGAGGCCGAGCAGTTGCCATACCAGGCAGTGATGCAACCAGTCAGGATGCTCTCGATGGTGCAGCTGTAGAACTTTTTGAGGATCTGAGGACCCATGCCAAATCTTTTCAGTCTCTTGAGGGGGAATAGGCTTTGTCGTGCCCTCTTCATGACTGTCTTGGTGTGTTTGGACCATGATAGTTTGTTGGTGATGTGGACACCAAGGAACTTGAAGCTCTCAACCTGCTCCACTACAGCCCCGTCGATGAGAATGGGGGCGAGCTCGGTCCTCTTCTTTTTCCTGTAGTCAACAATCATCTCCTTTGTCTTGATCACATTGAGGGAGAGGTTGTTATCCTGGCACCACACGGCCAGGTCTCTGACCTCCTCCCTATAGGCTGTCTCATCGTTGTCGGTGATCAGGCCTACCACTGTTGTGTCGTCGGCAAACGTAATGATGGTGTTGGAGTCGTGCCTGGCCATGCAGTCATGGGTGAACAGGGAGTAAAGGAGGGGACTGAGCACGCACCCCTGAGGGGCCCCCGTGTTGAGGATCAGCGTGGCAGATGTTGTTACCTACTCTTACCACCTGGGGGCGGCCCGTCAGGAAGTCCAGGATCCAGGTGCAGAGGGAGGTGTTTAGTCCCAGGGTCCTTAGCTTAGTGATGAGCTTTGAGGGCCCTATGGTGTTGAACACTGAGCTGTAGTTAATGAATAGCATTCTCACTTAGGTGTTCCTTTTGTCCAGGTGGGAAAGGGCAGTGTGGAGTGCAATAGAGATTGCATCATATGTGGATTTGTTGGGGTGGTATGCAAATTGGAGTGGGTCTAGGGTTTCTGGGATAATGGTGTTGATGTGAGCCATGACCAGCCTTTCAAAGCACTTCATGGGTACAGACGTGAGTGCTACAGGTTTGTAGTCTTTTAGGCAGTTTAGCTTAGTCCCTGTGCCCAAGAACACAATGGTGGTCTGCTTGAAACATGTTGGTATTACAGACTCAGTCAGGGACATATTGAAAATCTCAGTGAAGACACTTGCCAGTTGGTCAGCGCATGCTCTGCGTACACGTCCTGGTAATCTGTCTGGCCCTGCGGCCTTGTGAATGTTGACCTTTTTAAAGGTGTTACTCACATCGGCTACGGAGAGCGTGATCACACAGTCATCCGGAACAGCTGATGCTCTCATGCATGCTTCAGTGTTGCTTGCTTCGAAGCGAGCATAGAAGTAATTTAGCTCGTCTGGTAGGCTCGTGTCACTGGGCAGCTCGCGGCTGTTCTTCCCTTTGTAGTCTGTAATAGTTTGCAAGCCCTGCCACATCCGACGAGCCGGTGTAGTACGATTCAATCTTAGTCCTGTATTGACGCTTTGCCTGTTTGATGGTTCGTCGGAGGGCATAGCGGGATTTCTTATAAGCGTCCGGGTTAGAGTCCCGCTCCTTGAAAGCGGCTGCTCTACCCTTTAGCTCAGTGTGGATGTTGCCTGTAATCCATGGCTTCTGGTTGGGGTACGTACGGTCACTGTGGGGACGACGTCATCGATGCACTTATTGATAAAGCCAGTGACTGATGTGGTGTACTCCTCAATGCCATCGGAAGAATCCCAGAACATATTCCAGTCTGTGCTAGTAAAACAGTCCTGTAGCTTAGCATGTGTCATCTGACCACTGGTGCTTCCTGCTTTAGTTTTTGCTTGTAAGCAGGAATCAGGAGGATGGAATTATGGTCAGATTTGCCAAATGGAGGGCGAGGGAGAGCTTTGTACGCAGCTCTGTGTGGAGTAAAGGTGGTCTAGAGTTTTTCTTCCTCTGGTTGCACATTTACCATGCTGGTAGAAATTAGGTCAAACGGAATTAAGTTTCCCTGCATTAAAGTCCCCGGCCACTAGGAGCGCCGCCTCTGGATGAGCGTTTTCCTGTTTGCTTATGGCCTTATACACAGCATCTCTCTCTTTCCTGCCTGTGTCTCTGGCCTTGTCATTCTGTCCCTCTCGCCATTCCCTCCTCCCTCCCTGCGGTGTTAATAATTCATTTTCCTCACGTTGTCTGTATTCAGCGCTGAGAGAGATAAAGCACGTCGTCCGCTCTCACCCTGAGTGGTGCCGTGGGGAATAGAAGGGTCTTTGTTGAACATTCTACCGAGCCGGTCATCAAGCAATTTTCTCAGAACACGCCTGAGAGGCGCGACTTTCACTTCTTTGGCACGTCCACCACGTCTGAGCCTGGCTGTTTAGACACAGAGGGGGCCTATTCACCGCCCTTTAGTCACCCTCACCAGTCTCCCCGGGCTGGGCTAAGCACTCTACCTGCTCCCCCTGTTTGCTCAGGGCCTTAACTTCTCTTATTAGCTCCTCTTTAAACAGGCTTGAACAGTGGCACTACAATGTAGCCCGCGGTCGCAAATAGGGCATCCCAAATACGATAGGGAAAACAATTTGCGGAAGATAAGGCACACACTCGGAGGCAGACTGGCCTGTAAATGCCCTAGGGAGATAGCCAAAGCAAGCAAGATAAAGACAATCATTCTCGGACATTAGCACATAATCAGAAACACAAAATGACACTCAGATAGTGGGCCTGCTGGCTACTAACCCTTATATGGTTGGCTACTTAATTCACTTTTTAATCGATTTTGTAGGGCAACCCAAAAAAATCAGGGGGGGCCATGCCCCCACACCCCCCTGACTAGCTGCTTTTTTTCATTAAGGTGGCTACTTCAGATTTTCGGGAACACATTGATCTTAGAGTATCATAAAAGCTCCTTAGTGATCCGGATTATTTTACTGTGATTATTTGGTATGTGTCCTTAGTCCTCCAAGACCATTCAACCAACATACAAACCCCTCCAGGAAGGAGATAGATCAGGTTTTGTGACCCAAAGCTCAACAATATAGCTGATCATAGAAAATTACTCAAGTAAAAGTCACCCAGTAAAATACTACTTGAGTAAAATTCTAAAAGTATTTGGTTTGAAATATACTTAAGCATCAAAAGTAAATCTAATTACTAAAATATACCTAAGTATCAAAAGTAAAAGTATAAATCATTTCAAATTCCTTATATTAAGCGAACCAGACGACACCATTTAATTTTTTACGGATAGCCAGGGACACACTCCAACACTCAAACATCATTTACAAACCAAACGTGTGTTTAGTGAGTCCGCCAGATAGGCAGTAGGAATGACCAGGGATGTTCTCTTGAGAAGTGCGTGAATTGGACCATTTTCCTGTCCTGCTAAGCATTCAAAATGTAACGAGTACTCTTGGGTGTCAGGGAAAATGTATGGAGTAAAAAGTACATTATTATTTTAAGGAATGTAGTGAAGTAAAAGTTGTTAAAAAATATAAATAGTAAAGATATCCCCCAAAAACTAAGTAAGTAGTACTTTAATGTATTTTTACTTAAGTATTTTACACCACTGCCCCTGGGTCCCTTGATCAGTGACTTTTCCCCTTGCTCCACTGGTACCTTCAATCATGCTCTCTGGGCCTACACACTCTAAAGAGCTTATATTGTGTACAGCAGTGTTGAAAGATATGCATCCAATGATGCAATAATATTACATGCTCCACTATAAAATGCATATTTTGTATGGAGTGAAACTCTTTCAGGTGAACACATTTCTTGACTCTCTTATGTTTTGAGCATTGAGAAAGTAATACCCTAAGTAAAGTGTGAGGGTGACATATGGTGGCTTTCGCCTGGTTGCCCTCTACGTGGATATGAGATAAATGCCTGTATGTCTGATGGGTCTTTCTTCCAGGTGGTTGAGCTGAAGCCGGAAGGGAAGGACATCCCCGTGTCCACGGCCAACAGGATAGCGTACATCCATTTAGTGGCAGATTACCGACTCAACAAACAGATCAGGCCCCACTGCCTGGCCTTCAGACAGGGCCTGGCCAACGTGGTCAACCTGGAGTGGCTGCGCATGTTTGACCAGCAGGAGATCCAGGTAACGTCATGGATATTCACTAGGTTTGTAAAATTCGTGTAACTTTAGCAAAATCCTGAGGATTTCTGGAAAACTTCTAATTTTGGGAAAGTTACCAGAATTTTGCAAGTCTATTCACATTACTTTTACAAAAATGCACACTTAAAGATACATGTAAACATTTTCATCATCGATCTTTGCTTTCCCACTACAGGTGTTGATATCTGGAGCTCATGTACCCATTTGTCTTGACGACCTGAAGACATTTACAAACTACTCAGGTATGATCGCATTATGGATCGTTTGTAAAAGTTTATTTTAAGTAACAAAACTATTTAGGCTCTGCCTTAATGGTGAAAATTATATTGAGGTGATACTCAGTGATAGTCAGTTTCTAGTAGTAGTGACTACTTTTTCCATGTGCTGCACAGTCAGGAAGATTTCCACAGAGCTAACTGTCAAGCTCTCCTGCCAACTTCATGGGACAGGTAGCCTAGTCACGGCATACGGTTGCGCTCTAAAGAATAATTTGTTGTTGAATGGCATGGGTGGTGGTCGAGATGGTATGGCTGCATCATGAGTCTTAAACAGCGCAAACAATGTCTGTCCTACACTGGATTCACTCGGTTTACAGGTGGTTTTTTGAAGACTAAAACCCAGGTGTGTCAGATTATCATTTCCCTCTCTCTTCCCCAGGTGGTTACACTGCCACTCACCCTGTCATTACCATATTCTGGGAGGTGGTGGAAAGCTTCACCGATGAAGAGAAACGCAAGCTGCTCAAGTTTGTCACCAGTTGCTCGCGGCCTCCCCTCCTGGGCTTCAAGGTGAGGGTTGACCGAAAGTTCACTACGTCTGTGTTTTCCTGTCCCTCTTTTCTATCCTCTGTCTGGTATTATAGACTGTTGATTGTAGCCGGCGCCATCAGGAGTTCAACCAAAGACTGTGAGAGTCCAAATTACACCCTATATTTTTGACTAAAAGTAGTGCACTATATAGGTAACAGGGTGCCATTTAGGACGCAACCTAAGACAAAGGCCAGTACTAGGGAGTGTTCACTGTTATAATGGGCATGTAATGAAAATGCCTGGCCTGATAACTCCCTCCGATGATCATTTTCAAATTAGGCTCGGTGATAAGACTCATAATGCTGCCTCGCTCATGCTTATCTCCTTCTACACCTGCTCACTGCGGTTCACAACCCTCCTCTGGATTATAAGTCGATTTAAGACCTTTGCCTGACTGTTTGGGCGTGGGCTTGGTTGGCAGGCATCACCCGCCGGACAAATATTGACGTTGGTGTCAGACTAAGCCGGCGGCACGGTGAACTTTTGCACTGTTGGCTCCTGTTTGACCTCGATGAGTAGTAGGGACGTTAGTTTCACACAAGAAATAAAGGCATATATTGTAGGTTGTTAGATGTCTTTAGTTGGGCAAAGGGTATAACCCCAGAATAATATATTTTGTTTTGAATCCCTGCCCCCAAAAACTAGCACCAAAACATTGCTGCAACATCATCGAAAGCTGTTTGTTTCCAAAATGACTTCAGCCAAGAGCTGAAATTTGTGCTGAAATGGTGGAATTGCGTTTATCGGAATTACCTTGACTGTGTCATCAGCTGATGATTCCTCCAATCGAGAGCCGTTTTACTTTCCTAATGACTTGATTTAGAGACACTAAAATGGTTGGAAATAGAAAGGAGAAGAGCGCTGCTGAAATCCATTAGGACTTTTATACGCCTTACTTAGGAATACCAGAAGCTGTAATTGTCATATGATTGGTTTTACTACTGTTTATTGCCGTCGTTAGTTAAGAATACTTAAGTGCTCCCACAGCAGGGAGAGAGAGGAGGGTACAGATGGGAACGCTCCTAAAAATCTCCCTCGGTGGCTCAGGCAGGAGGGCTGGAGAGTTCCCCCCCAGTTTAATGAATTTGACTTTGGGGAGTGTGTGTATGTGGCGTTCCTGCCCCTCCCGGTCTCCTCCCCCCCTCCCTGTCTCCTCCCCAGGCCGGAGAGGGGGGGATCATGGTGATTGGTGGGGCGGGAAGGGGTGGGGAACGGCCCCTGACCCTAACCCTGGGCCCGTGCTCGCCCAGCCTTAATTAGCTGCCGTAAATGTCCAAGGATTCATTAGCGGAGAAATAGCTCTGTCAGGAGAAGCCATTTAAAAAAGATGATGGAGAGCCTTTTTTCCAGAATGATCTCTCCCGTAATGACACTTTTTCAATAAGCAACGATAGTTTAATACGGTAATTGTCCGAAAAATGGGGTCGTTACCGCAGAGCCCCCCAGAACCATTTAACCAGGCTGGTACGGGCACTGAACCCTACGCGCCACACTCCTAATCTTTAAATAGCAGGATTAATTCATTGCTGTAGAGCGGCGGGACGTTAGAAACAGAGAGGATGTTTCCTGTGGATTCTGATGGAAACCGTCAGTGGTTACGCTCCAAATGGCACCCTATTCCCTATATAGTGCACTACTTTTGACCAGGGACCATAGGGAAACCCATAGGGCTCTGTTCAAAAGTAGTGCACTATATAGGGAATAGGGTGCCATTTGGGACGCAGGCAGTGTCTTGGCCTTGATGATGTGAGTGGAGATGAGGTGGCCTGGCCTCATCACCAGAAAGCATCATTTGAAAAGTGCCAGATAGACAACATGAAATGACCATTCGCTGCTCTTGCTCAGCTCCCAATCCCAAAGGTCACTAGTGGGGAAGTGTCACACTCGGTCTCCTTCAAACATCGCAGCCTATTTTTAATTTATATCCACACTGAATTAGCTAAACACTTAATGTCACGTCCTATCACATTTATTCCCCGATGTCGCTCGACATTTATGGCTTAATTAGAATTGCCCGGGATATGATGATTATCGGTGACATCAGATGATCCATGTCTTTCTGTCTGTTAGGGCCGGGACGATACCAGTATCGCCATACTCGTTAGTATCGTGGCAAGGAAACGAAACACAAAGCGGATGTGACTTCTTTAGGTAAACAAACCTGCTGGAATCAAACATCATTATGTTGTCATCTAGTCACATTTATTTATTTTCCAAGCTAAAGCATACAATATTTTACATACAGCAGGTTTTTAGAGGACCGAAGAGTTAGGTCTGCTTTATGGTTTCATTTTTGCCATGGACAAAATATCACACAAAAAATATCTGTCTGTCTTCAATTATCCTTATGTAACTCTCTGTAACTCTGTTCAGCTTGTTGTATTTCAGTCTGTCTTTCTGTATCTGAATGATACTGTCGTCTTTTTGGCCATACACACTCAGGTTGTACAACTGATGTACAACGCATTTAAAACAATGGTTGTAATACAACAGATATTTTTGATAACAGCAAGTCTGTCGGCATAAAAGTGTCCACAACTCTTGTGTAATTATTTTTGTCCGGAAAAATGATGTTATAAACTCAACAAAAAAAGAAACATCCCTTTTTCAGGACCCTGACTTTCAAAGATAATTTGTAAAAATCCAAATAACTTCACAGATCTTCATTGTAAAGGGTTTAAACACTGTTTCCCATGCTTGTTCAATGAACCATAAACAATTAATGAACATGCACCTGTGGAACGGTCGTTAAGACACTAACAACTTACAGACGGTAGGCAATTAAGGTCACAGTTATGAAAATGTAGGACACTAAAGAGGCCTTTCTACTGACTCTGAAAAACACGTTCATCTACTTGAACGTGCCTTAGGCATACTACAAGGAGGCATGAGGACTGCAGACGTGGCCAGGGCAATAAATTGCAATGTCCGTACTGTGAGACGCCTAAGACAGCGCTACAGGGAGACAGGACGGACAGCTGATCGTCCTCGCAGTGGCAGACCACGTGTAACAACACCTGCACAGGATCTGTACAACACCTGCACAGGATCTGTACAACACCTGCACAGGATCTGTACATCCGAACATCACACCTGCAGGACAGGTACATGATGGCAACAACAACTGCCCGAGTTACACCAGAAATGCACAATCCCTCCATCAGTGCTCAGACTGTCCGCAATAGGCTGAGAGAGGCTGGACTGAGGGCTTGTAGGCCTGTTGTAAGGCAGGTCCTCACCAGACATCACCGGCAACAACGTCGCCTATGGGCACAAACCCACCGTCGCTGGACCAGACAGGACTGGCAAAAAGTGCTCTTCACTGACGAGTCGCGGTTTTGTCTCACCAGGGGTGATGGTTGGATTCGTGTTTATCGTCGAAGGAATGAGCGTTACACCGAGGCCTGTACTCTGGAGCGGGATCGATTTGGAGGTGGAGGGTTCGTCATGGTCTGGGGCGGTGTGTCACAGCATCATCAGACTTAGCTTGTTGTCGTTACAGGAAATCTCAATGCTGTGCGTTACAAGGAAGACATCCTCCTCCCTCATGTGGTACCCTTCCTGCAGGCTCATCCTGACATGACCCTCCAGCATGACAATGCCACCAGCCATACTGCTCGTTCTGTGTGCGTGATTTCCTGCAAGACAGAAATGTCAGTGTTCTGCCATGGCCAGAGAAGAGCCCGGATCTCAATCCCATTGAGCACGTCTGGGACCTGTTGGATCGGAGGGTGAGGGCTAGGGCCATTCCCCCCAGAAATGTCCGGGAACTTGCAGGTGCCTTGGTGGAAGAGTGGGATATCATCTCACAGTAAGAACTGGCAAATCTGGTGCAGTCCATGAGGAGGAGATGCACTGCAGTACTTAATGCAGCTAGTGGCCACACCAGATACTGACTGTTACTTTTGATTTTGACCCCCCCTTTGTTCATGGACACATTATTCAATTTCTGTTAGTCACATGTCTGTGGAACCTGTTCAGTTTGTCTCAGTTGTTGAATCTTGTTATGTTCATACAAATATTTACACATGTTAAGTTTGCTGAAAATAAACGCAGTTGACAGTGAGAGGACATTTATTTTTTGCTGAGTTTATAACAAGTATTGTGCCAAATGTGTTATACAAATTGAATGTATAGAGGGCCTCCGTGGCACAGATAGACCGATGTTTCACCGGATGTATAAATCCGAAGCATCTGGTTGGCATTTCCACTCGCCACCAAATATGGTGATGAGAGGAAGCCCAGTGGCCGGCAGTGGGAGAAGGTGGAGCGAGATGGATTTTGGCCGACATTCTACTAATTTTGTAATCGATGAATGATGAAACATTCGATCTCAATATAGTTTTCTGTTCCCAAAACTAGAACCTGTTATGAACAGAGTGGACTAAGTTTTGTAGACTTTACCCTATGCCAAAGTTTCTAAAATGTGCATTGTGTAGAAGGAGTACAAGGGCGAATTGAGTTATTGCACACGCGCACTTCAAAGAGAGACCGGGTCAGTCAATTACTAATATACTAATACTCTTAGTAAAAGTATTTATCTTCAACTCGCAATCTGTGGATTCGATTAGATAGATTGAAATTGTATGTTAAACATAATTGAAAGATATATGGTGCGCAGAAATCCGAAGAGGGTGGCCAGCAGAGATAGGTGGGATGGGCTGAGGGAAGCTGAGGGTTGGGATGAGGAACTGGAGACAAGTGGGAGTGGAGTTGCTGGGTGGGGGATAGAATGACGGTCAAAGATAAAAGTAAAACAAATAAAGTCAAAATAAAACATAACAAAAAGTAAGTTTGAATGACACTGAGGGGCAGTGTTGTTACAGCTAATGCCTGTTTGCCTGAGGCTGATGCCGTGCAGGTGTTTGTACACATGCATATACACACTCTCATTCAAATGCACACATGTGCACATACACGGACACACACACATGTAAATAGTGCCATACATGCACTCAAACATATTCAGTTGGCCTTACTGTCTTTAGTTTTTTGCATTGTTGTTTTCCTTTGTCTTTCTCTTGGTTGTTGGGGCATTGGGGACGGGGGCTTGGGGAGGTTAAGGGGCAGCTCTTGGGGAACTGTGGAGGGGATCTTGGAGGGCTGGTGGCCTGGCGGTTGGGAGCTTGGGCCGGTGGCTGATGGATTGCTGGTTTGGGTCCCTGTTTTTGACCTTGTGGGAGATCTGTTGACGTGCCCTTGAGCAGGGCGTTGACCCTGGTTGCTTCTGTGTGTCGCTCTGGATGGGAGTCTGTTAGTTGACTAATGTGATGTAGTTGTTGAGCGGCTTCACTGCAAGTCTATTGTATGTTTGAAATATTCAAGAAAAATAAAGAAAAAAAATAAAGAGTAGGCGTTCCCTAACGGAAATATGCAAATACATGCTAGAACACGCTAATTGGATCTCGCTAGCTCGTGCTTGACTCTGCTCAACTCCTTGCTTGTTCTGCCCTCTATGATTTTCTCCTATTGGAAACGATAGGCTGTGGTCTATGTTTGTCCATGACCCTCTGAATCTCTTGTTTGACAAGGTTCTCCCCCCCCTACCCCCACCTCTGTGTTTCCAGGAGCTGTACCCAGCCTTCTGCATCCATAACGGGGGGAACGACCTGGAGCGCCTGCCCACAGCCTCTACCTGCATGAACCTGCTCAAGCTGCCCGAGTTCTGCGACCAGCATCTGATGAGGAACAAGTTGCTGTACGCCATAGAGTCCTCCGCAGGCTTCGAGCTCAGCTGAGGGGGGACGTCTGTCTCTGACTCCCTGAAACCACTGACTCAATGGACATGGACGGGCCAAAGAAGACTGTCTGTTGAGAGAGAGCTTAAGAAAGACTGAGGGGAAAAGATGCACTGAATTCTCTCTGACTGGGTGGAAGACAAACAGGGGTGAAAGGATTGTCACCCAAGACGGATGAGGAAGAGGGGGATGAGGAAAGAATGGAGGGGAAGGGAAAAGCGCGTAGTAATTTTTTTTGTTTTAAAATAACTTGTATATTAAAAATCTACAAAACGCATAAAAGAGCAGCAACAATAGAATCTCGAGGATGTTTTTTTTTAAAGACTTTGTGCAAAATAAAACGAACAGACGAGATCTACTGTGAGTGTGTCCATGGCGATACAGTTGACCCTTCAGCAGAGCGCGTTGTGAAAAAACAACAGAAATAAACATCAACAACAATGGAGTGTTCACCAAAGATTGAGCCGTGCTGTGCTGTTGGAAGATGGGTTGAAGAGAGGCACAGGAAATAAGAGGACAGAGGTGGGAGATGGGGTGACATACATGACTGCAGCACTCCTAACACCCCTGTGTCAAGGGTTTTAAGAGGGTCTGATAGGCCTGTCCCAAATGGCACCCTATTCCCTATATCGTACACTACTTTTGAGCTGAGCCCTATGGGCCTTGGTCAAAAGTACTACACTATAAATAGAATAGGGTGCCATTAGGGACATTTTCAACTAGAGGTCATCAAAACTCTGTTTTGTGACTACTGTAATGATTATTATTATTAATAGTAATAATAAGTCTTGTTTTCAGAACATAAAAATGCTAATGCTTTGGGCAGGCTACTGTGTGGGTTTTTCAAGGCAAAGATGAGTATTGTTGATAAGAGATTGGACTATACTTTTGATTATGATGATCATGGAATATTTGTTAATATGTATATGTGTTTACACCACTCTTGTATGATTCCTTTACTCAGTATTTGTACAGGTAGCTTTCCTCTGTTTCTTCTTCCTCTTGTGTTTCGAATGAAGGCCTAGTGTTCTCACACACAGATTAAAGTGAACAATCTATTCTACAGTACGTGCCCTGACTGCAGTGAGTATCCACCAGAGCATGTGAGCAGAGTTGAGTGGAAATCCCGCTCACCGCTCCAGCACTCTATGTCCTTTCCTACCGCTCCGCTAAAAACCGTTCCACGCTCACAGAAAAAAAACTGCCAATCCAAATTCGCTCCATTCATTAAAATCACAATTTAACCAACACCCTTCTATTTTTGTTACTACCTGGACCTACCAATTGTTTTTTAATTATTGAAACCAAGGCATATGGATTTGAATGAAAAGTATTTGAAGGAACATGAAAAGGTGAATGTAAGAAGGGAACATAATTTCAAAAAGACTACATGTCATATTAAACAGCATATAAACACTCTAAATAAGTCAGGAGACCGACAGGTAGCCTAAGAAGGAACGATAATGAATTATTTAGGCTGTATTTAAATTATTTCAAGGCTATAGCCTACAAATAAATACATTGTGAAACTTTTGGGAGTGAAACACAATAGGCTGGTAGGGACATAAAGAGCTCAGTATTTAAACAACATATCGTTGTTTTGAATAATTATAGTCTATAAATTGAACATATATGCTGTTTAATTACAAATTAAATGAAAAATGACTTATTAGTGCCTTTGAATACCTTTTTAGAATTCATTTTTAGAAACACGAGTTTGGCCAGTCTGGCATCGCGATGGTGCCTGGAGAGCCGGCCAGCAGCGGTATATATCCTCTCCACACTTGTAGAGCCACTGGGGATGCTAAACAGCCTTTTGCCCACTCTTGCCAGGCTGGGCAGAGATGCAGAGTTGTTTTTTTATTTTTCTATAGGTAGGCCTAAAGGTTTTAAGGCAAAATAACCCAATCAAAACAAAGCTCCTTGAACGTGGGAATATGCCAGGCCTGTTGGGCCAAAATCAATTATGGCCTATTGTATAGATAATAGAACAAAAATGAACAAATCGTTTAAGAGATCTAAATTTTTGTTTATAAATACTTTGCTACAATGACACACTTAGTTATCTACCCACCTATTTCCTTTCTTTTAGCATGTGCACGTAGTAAAGTACACCATCATGCTTTTAGGATACGTGTCTTTTCAGATTCCACAATAATTATTTAGTTGTGGACACTACATCACCGCACTCCCTCTCTTGCTCTTGGTCCTCATCTTTGTAAGTCACCTTGATTTAGCACCTGTGTGTTTTATCAGTTTCTTTATGAAAATATTTAGCGAACTCCATGACAGTAGCTAAAGCAACGGGCTATAGCAGCACACAAGTACACTACAAATGCATGCTGGGGCGGGCATGCCCTGAGCTCGTGAAGTGAGCGCTACTGGAGCGAAATTGTAGCGTGTGAGGAGCCCTACGCTCCAGCCTTTGGGATCTCACTCCACGCTCCAGTCAAATTGGGTACGCTTCGCTCCTCGCTCCGCTCACATACTCTGGTATCCACCTATGGAGCAACAACTGTGGTTACGTCCGAAATGGTCCTGGTCAAAAAGTTGTGCTCTACCTAGGGAATAGGGTGCCATTTGGGATTGACTCAGTCAAAAGTTGTGCTCTACCTAGGGAATAGGGTGCCATTTGGGATTGACACTGTCAACTTGATAAGGCTAGTGAAACCTGACTATCCGTGTATCAACAGAGTGGAGAACAGTGTCTGAATATGATTAAATACGTTTTCTATTTTTATTGAAGTGTATTTTTTGTTGCCGGGTAATTTAGAGTAAAGGACCTGGACATAAAACAAGGTGCTTTGTGCGATATCTCCTCTGGAGTTTTATTGCCCTCTGACATATAATGAAAGAAACATCCAGTTAAGAAACACTGAGCAGAAACTATTCTGGCCTTGAGATGCATTATCGTCCCGGGCACAAATTAAGATTGTGGGCGTTTGTCATAAATCTACCCGAGCCCTGATGCAGTTGGGCTGAGGGGATTTTTTTATTTCCTCTTTGGACCGTTTCCATCCATCCCTCCTCTCCTGGGTGTGCATCCCAAATGGCACCCTATTCCCTATATAGTGCTCTACTTTTGACCCATAGAGGGTGCATCCCAAATGGCTCCCTATATAGTGCTCTACTTTTGACCCATAGAGCTCTGATAGTAGTGCCATTTGTGACGTAGTCATAGAATAGCCAAACAGTCTCCCCCTCCTCCCAAACTGAAATTCCATGCATCCTACAGGCCAGGGGGAACTCAAAGCGGTAATTGGGTCTTAAAAAGCTGACTTGCCAAGCTGAAATGAGGGATTCATCTCAATTACGTAGAGATTTATTTAGGCCTATTACCTTGTGATGGATTATAACTGACAAACGTAATGCTAGTGGCCATGAATCATTTCTCATTTCATATTGCAAGATATACTTAAGATTACTCAAACCCCTTTAAAAGGGTAATTTAAGTTTTTTAAGTAGTTCATTTTATGCCAAAATGTAAAAGGGATGTTATTCACCAAAAGGCCTTAATTAGACAATTTAGCCTTAATTTAGCCAAATGGCTGAACAGGATTGTTGGGTTACAGGTTGAAGGTCACGGAATTAAAAATAACAACATAATATGTATCTCTATGATCAGGTTACTCCATACTTGAAATATATACATTTACATTTTAGTCATTTAGCAGACGCTCTTATCCAGAGCGACTTACAGTTAGTGAATACATATTTTTTTATACTGGCCCCCCATGGGAATCGAACCCACAACCCTGGCGTTGCAAACGCCATGCTCTATCAACTGAGCTACATCCCTGCCGGCCATTCCCTCCCCTACCCTGGACGACTTGTGCGCCGCCCATGAGTCTCCCAGTCGCGGCCGGCTGCGACAGAGCCTGGATTCGAACCAGGATCTCTAGTGGCACAGTTAGCACTGCGATGCAGTGCCTTAGACCACTGCGCCACTCAGGAGTGAACATATACTGAACAAAAATATAAATGCAACAATTTAAAAGATTTTACTGAGTTACAGTTCATATAAGGAAATCAGTTAATTGAAATAATATATTGATTTCACATGACTGGGAATACATATATGCATCTGTTGGTCACATACCTTTATTTAAAAAAAGGTAGGGGCGTGGATTAGAAAACCAGTCAGTATCTGGTGTAACCACCATTTGCCTCATGCAGTGTGACACATCTCCTTTGCAGAGTTGATCGGGCTGTTGATTGTGGCCTGTGGAATGTTGTCCCACTCCTCTTCAATGGCTGTGCAAAGTTGCTGGATATTGGCAGGAACTGGAACACGCTGTTGTACACGTTGATCCAGAGCATCCCAAACATGCTCAATGGCTGACATGTCTGGTGAGTATGCAGGCCATGGAAGAACTGGGACATTTTCAGCTTCCAGGAATTGTGTACAGATCCTTGCGTCATGGGGCCGTGCATTATCATGCTGAAACATGAGGTGATGGCGGCGGATGTATGGCACGACAATGGGCCTCAGGATCTCGTCATGGTATCTCTGTGCATTCAAATTGCCATCAATAAAATGCAATTGTGTTCATTGTCCGTAGCTTATGCCTGCCCAAAACAACCTCACCACCACCATGGGGCACTATGTCAACAACGTTGACATCAGCAAACCGCTCGCCCACACAACGCCATACACGTGGTCTGCGGATGTGAGGCCGGTTGGACATACTGCCTAATTCTCTAAAACGATATTAGAGGGGGCTCGTGGTAGAGAAATGAACATTACATTCTCTGGCAACAGCTCTGGTGGACATTCCTGCAGTCAGCATGCCAATGGCACGCTCCCTCAAAACTTGAGACATCTGTGGCATTGTGTTGTGTGACAAAACTGCACATTTGTTGTCCCCAGCACAAGGTGCACCTGTATAATGATCATGCTGTTTAATCATCTACTTGATATGCCACACCTGTCAGGTGGATGGATTATCTTGGCAAAGCTGAAATTCTCACTAACAGGGATGTAAAGAATTTGTGCAACAAAAATGTAGAGAAATAAATGTATGAAAAATGTATATATTTTATTTCAGCTCATGAAACATGGGACCAACAATTTACATGTTGCATTTATATTTATGTTCAGTGTAATATGGAATACTTGAAGTACTGACATTTCATTGCTTCATGGATCTTATTTTTTGCTCATTGATAGCCAGTGGTGTAAAGTACTTAAGTAAAAATACTTTAAAGTACTACTTAAGTAGTTTTTGGGGGTATCTGTACTTTACTACTTATATTTGTGACTACTTTTACTTTTACTTCACTACATTCCATAAGAAAATCATGTACTTTTTACTCCTTACATTTTGAATGCTTAGCAGGACAGGAAAATTGTCATATTCACGCACTTATCAACAGAACATCCCTGGTCATCCCTACTGCCTATGATCTGGCGGACTCACTAAACACACGTGCTTTGTTTGTAAATTATGTCTGAATGTTGGAGTATGCCTCTGGTATCCGTAAATTTAAAAAACAAGAAAATGTTGCTGTCTGGTTTGCTTAATATAAGGAATTTGAAATGATTTATACTTTTACTTTTACTTTTGATACTTAAGTATATTTTAGTAATTACATTTACTTTTGACACTTAAGTATATTTTAAAACAAATACTTTTAGACTTTTACTTAAGTAGAATTTTACTGGGGGACTTACTTTTACTTGAGTCATTTTCTTTTAAGGTATCTTTACTTTTACTCATGTATGACAATTGGGTACTTTTCCCACCACTGTTGATAGCTGATTTAAAGTAGTCTAATGTCAAGATTAAATCACATCCAACAACACTGGCTGTGTTGATCCAGCTATATGCCTCCACCCCAAATTAATGGAAAAGATAAGCACCAAATAAAACCAGGAGATTAGATGGTACTTATCTTTTCAATTTATTTGGGATGGAAGCATATTGCTGGATCTACACAACCACGACAAGTGGGACCTGGTTTCATTTTGACATTATACTACTTTTGAGGTCTGAAAACATCGGACAAACTTTCATTTATGAGTGAAATGTCCCTTTGAGCTCAGATCTCTCTCAGCCCCATATCTGACCTCAGCAAAAATTCACATAAAAAAACGCCTCTGGAGGCTTTCTGGTTTATTGAAC